CAGGAGCAGCTTCAGACGGTTGCGGCTCTCAACCTCCGAGACGAGCTCGTCGATGGGGATGACGGAAGGGTCCACAGTGGAGAGCAAATTCTTGATAATGCTCTCGTCGCAGTCAACGTCAAGCAGACCGCCCACAACGGCGGGAGCCCGGGAGGGGTTCACCCGCTGCACGTACACTTCGATGGACTTGAACTGCTGGTTCTGGTAAAGATAGAGAACCAAATCATGGATGAAGTTGAAACGGTCGCAGACAATGATCAGAGGCAGCTGCTCGGTCAAGTGGGCCTCCTTGAGGAAGTTCTTCACCTTCTCAGGGTTGTAGTAGTTACTCTCACGGCAAATACGCTCGACCTCGGTGAGCTGGTTCATAGCGGTGGCAGCCTCGATGTACTTGAAGTGCACGTCAGCATCTTCACTCAGATTAACGATGCTACCAAGGTAGTAGTAAAGACCCTCGGCAGTGCGGTACTTCTCAAAGAGATCGATGAGGCGGTTGGGCCCGAGGAGATCAGAGAATTTGGTGGCAATCTGAACAACAGCCTGCAGGTTCTGGCGAATGTTGGCCTCGAGCATAAAGTCCAAGCACTCGAGGGTCTGCTCGACAGACAGACGGCCGAAGTAGTTCATCAACCACTCGGGGCTCAGCTTGTCAGTCTTGACAATGTTACGCTTGATGACCGCGGGATCGTCCGAGTTCTCGAGAGCACGCTGAACAAGACCGGCGTTCTCGCAAAGCTGTGCGATGCGGGGACGATCATAGTGAGTGAAGATCTCGTTGCCCAAAATGGCATCAGCAACTTGGGGAGCATTGACGAGATTCATCTCAAGCAGACGAGTCTGCAGGTGGCCATGCTCGGGCTTGTTGTCCTTGAGGGCATCAAGGAGGAAGGAGGTCGCCTGCTGAATCATGTTCTGAGACAGGAAGACATCCACGACTCGGTCAAGGTCAACAAGAGCCCCATCCTCCTCACTGGCGAGCTGACTGGCAAACTCGGCACCCTTCTCAGGGTTGACGCGCACGATGTGCTGGAGGAGCTGAGTGTAATCAGGCTGGTAGCCCACCTTCTTGGAGTAGGAGAGAATTTGATCGAATTGGCCAGTCTCGGCGAGGCCAGCAACGACCTTGTGGGGAACGTTGGACTCGAGGTAGACTTTGAGAGCCAGGGACACGTCATACGGTCGGATGATGTCTCCAAGCTCTTCGGAAGCCTCCAGCTTGTGCTCGTTCATCCACTTCTCCAGCAGATGCTTGCGGTTCTGCTGCAGGACAGGTCGGACAAGCTCCACACTCTCATAACGGTTCAAAGATCCCTTATCGAGCAGCATACCGAAGTACTGCAGAATGACCGACATCTGACCGGTTTGGGGTGCATTCTTGAAGCGGGTGATCGTCTCGGGAGTACGAAGGAAGCCACGGGGAGAGTTGGCCGCGACCTTGGCAGCTTCGCCAAAGTTGCCCGCGTTAATGAGAGTGTCAAATTGCTGTTGGTAAAGGTGATCGGCTCCCGGGAGACCGGCCCGCGAAGCAAGCTTCACCGCAAGAGAGGACATCGCGGGGTTGTTCATCAAGTATTCAATGATCGTGTTCTCGTCAACGCTGACGGACAAAACCTGACCCTTGCGATTGACACCGACCAGGCCTGCGCCGTCGGTATCCGCGGCAGTGGTGAAGATAGTCTCGCTAGAGATGCGGTTCATGAAGATGCAGGTACCGGTCTCGAGGTCGTACAGGTGGATGAAGCCATACTTGGTGACCAGGTAAACGATGTCGTACTTTGTGGACACCTGCATAGCCACGGGGAAGTCATTGACGGCCTCCTGGGGAAAGTACACCTCCACAGCCTTCTTCTGGAATCGCGGATTGGGTTCTTGATGGTCGATCTCGGCAATCTGGAGCTTGGCCCCGGTCTGGGTTCGAACGGCAAAGGTGAAGAGGTGGTGGGGAAGAGGGGAGCCCTCCACGTTGATGTCGGCGAAAGCAGCAGCGTGACCCTCGATGAATTGCGAGATGCCGCGCTCCTTGGAGTAAAGCTGCATGGATCCAACAACTCGGCCTTGTTGTTGACTGATACCAACCACGACCATCCATTTCTCCTCAGCGTTAACGCGGTAGTTGATGATTTGGCATCCCTAACAAATGCCGTCAGTCAGCATGACATTCCAACTTATTCGAGCAATCTCCAAATAGTATATTATACGCACCGAAAGGTTGGGAAGACGATCAAACATCTTGACCGGGTTTTCCTGAGTAGCGTCGTAGACGTCCCAGTGATAGACGGAGGTCTCGGTAACCAGACCCAGGGCCTTTTCGCTGAACCACTTCCAGTAGACAATATCCTCGTTCATCACCGCGGACTTTAGCTTTTGCTTTACGGAAAGGTCGAAGATCTGGATTGTGCGGCCTTGAGCTTTGAGGGCGATAATGTTCTTGCTCCAGTGCATGATGGCACTGTCAGCGTTGATCGGCCGCCGCATGACCTCATTGTTGTTCTTCAAGTCAACAATGATGACTTGTGGCTTGTCGTCCTCATCGAGCTTCTGGCGAACACAGACATAGTGATCGGATTCGAGGGTCTGTGATGAGGTCACATCCATCGTCAGTTGCGGTTCTAACACCAGATGTTTCGGGGGTCGCAGTGGAGGGACTTACACATGACACAAAGCCAATGGATGGTTGCTATAAGCGCCAAAGAAGTCAGTACAGTCCGTTGATGATATCGGGGTGTCTGCCGGACGCGACCGGTGTATCCGTCTCGCAATGGAAGCTTGTCGCGACGCTGGCTCGATGGAGGTGCAGCTCAAGTGAGACATACCGCAATGCCAACATTGGTCAACTGTAGAAAGGGCAGAGTGTCAGTTATCTGTGAAACAAGCAGGGAGGCTGAGTCTGAGGGGGATCGGAACGTACGTTGACCAGTTCTGTGAACTTGATGGGAAGAGGTGCCATATTTACTTAGGCCGCAGCACGACCTTGACCACCCAACTGAACGCCGCGCAAGGAAACCAGAATATTTGAAAGGAAATGAGGGTGGTAGAGAGAGAAGTGAGATAGGAAAGAGAATCAAGGAGATGGATAAAAGGTAAGAGGGGGGAATTGGGGGGGAAATCTGGAGAAACGGAAGTGACCTCCTGAGGTCCGCTGTTGTCGTTGCTGAGGTGTCGCTTGTAGGAAGTCACGTGAAACAGGGGCAAGGGCGGTGGGGACAGGAAAGCAGAGAAGTGGAACGGTGGAAGAAGTGGAAGTTGGAACGAGGGCGGTGCGCGTCATAGAGGGACGCTATTATTAGGCTAGGCCCTGGGCGGTCAGCACGTTGACACCCACGTTCTCTGAGAAAATACGGAGTAAAGAGTAGTAGTAGAGGATAGAGATACTACTACCGATCTGGCCACGCCTGATCTCTCTCCTCTCTCAGATTATTTGAGATAATGGAAAATCGTCGTCTTTCACTGGCACCTTCCAGAACTGCTGGGTAGCCTCACAAAATGCAACATTATTGCGGGTAGGAGGCGCAAAGCTCTTATTAATTTCTTTGTGGGATTAGGATGAACGCCTCCCGCGCTTTCTTCGTGATTCCCCGATTCCCTTACGGAAGAGGCTTGCTACCCAGGCCCTGATCATAAGCATAAGCATATTGTCTTCATTGCCGGGCGACTGCATCGGAAATCCCCTTCTCAATGGAGAGTTCCGATATCCTTTTTGCAAGACCTTACATTAACCGTTATTCTCGACATCCTTAGGATTTCTTACTTTTCTCTATTCGCACTTCAAAATTTACTCTTTTATCTCTCTGCATCCCATGTGGACACCAGTAACTCGCCTGCGACGCTTTTGTTCGGCAATGGTGTCGTCTCCTGGTGTTTTTTGAGGCTCTCTTACCGTCTGCTCCTCGTTCTGGGTAGCACCAAGGTTGCAATTGAATAAGAAGAGTTCAAAATTCTTGAGGGAGATTTTACTTAATTTTACTAAGAGCTCTTACCAAGGACTACAATATCCCTCCAGTGTTCATCTCTATCGGCCGCTTTGAACTTCTCAATACCACCGACAACGCCGTTTTTACTGACCGGGCAATCCCCTGTTTTCACTCGTTCAGCCTAGTCCTCTAAAGTTTTGTGTAATTATGAGCTTCGTGAGTCCCAAGGTAAATGTCCACTTAACCACCCAATGAATCCGACCGATATAATTGATCAGACTAGGTTCTCCCACACCTAACATTCTTGATGAATGGAAGACCATTGCTACTTCGAGCAAGCCCGTTGTAGCCAAGTTCGAACCGCAGGAGTCGAATATCGTTGCCAAACTGCTAGGTGTAGATTTTGTCGGCAGGTTCAATATACAAACCAGCAGTAATATCCCCTGCATTTCCGTCAAAAAGCTAGGGCCGACTCCAGGGTGACTTGTTCTCCTGCTTTCCTCGACATAAAGGAGAGGAAACGGCTCGTCATCATCACAGCGCTCCGCAAAAGGAGGGTAAAGGTGCAAAAACCCCTCTAAACACCTCATAGAGTATAGTGTTTGATCTCCTGAAGGAAATTTCTAGTTAGTTAGTCTAGGTTTTCCTTTCCGAGAGCAGATTATGTTGTAATTTTGCCTTAACCCACTATATCCAGATAGGTCTACAGAATACACTACAACAGCCGCTAAGGCCATCGTTCTAGATTAAATCAGGTCATATCTTACCAGTCTAGGATAAAGGAGGCTCATCCCACCAGCTCTTGGACGGAAGCGAACCGACCGCCCTGATCCAAGCCCGTTTAAGAATTTGGTTGTGAAGCTGGGCTGATAACTGGGGAACAGATCCAGTCACCGGCATCTGGATGAGGTGTAGGCGATAGATCTAATTTTTACGGGCTGGTTCAACGAAATTGTGGAGGACAATTTTCCCGAAATCAACACCCTTGACCATCAACTTGCAATGTCATCGGGAACAAGTAACTATGGCCTTGGGCCTGAATTGTTGAATTATGCCTCTACGGAATTCACGCTTGCCATTCAGAGCTTCCATTTGTTTGCATGTATATATGGCAGGGTTATCGTGATTCCTCGTCATGAGTTGCATCTCGGTTTCATCCCATACAATGAGCAAACGCTGGGCTTCAGCCGAGGATAGTAAGATGCAGCAGGTCATGTCGAAGCACTTTGCCAAGGATGGGAACTCAAGCCCCAAAGTCAACGAAAAGCATGCCAGTATGCGCCCACCCAGCCCATCTCTATAACGATACCACCAACTATCGGCGAACTTCCGGAGGCCTTGACACTCAAAAGCCTCTGAAGCTAGTTCAAACAAACCTTAAAAGCCGCAGCCGGGAAGTTTATGGACATTTTTCCCTTGGAGACACTGTCCGACCCTTGCAATCATTGGCCCTGTACCACCGAACGATCCGATCCCGTATTACCGGCTCTCTTCCCCATGCCAGCCAAGGGCCGAAAGGATGTCGGGGTAGGCCTCACCCCACGCTAAGCCGGCTCAAGCGTGAGCAAAAGCGGGATGTTCACTGTGTTGCAACTTAGCATTGGAGGAAGCGGCCTGCCCAGATGCTTGGCAAACTCTTGGCCTGTAAGCGGAGTGGTATTACCCCGGGTGGTCATCTGTGATATCTCTGGGGTTTGCAGCATGCTGGGGCTCGACCACGAGAAAGATGCGGAAGGAAAGTGCGGGGGTTAGGTGCACGAGGGTTGTATAAGTAGGAGTTGAGACGGGATTGTTGTCTTGGGAGAACTGTGGTATATTCAAATCATATTGATCATTGTTCCTTTCATCCTCGTGAAGTTTGATCAACCGTCTGGAAATTCCCGATCGACATTTTTCATGGCGTCTAACGTGGCTGCCGATCCCGTCGCGAAGGGAATTATTCCCACCGCTCGCCAGGCTTTTAAAGATCTGTTTATTTGGAGACAGCGGGTCGAGGTGACGAATGATTATGGAGAAACCCGCACAGAGTGGCATGATCCAGAACCCATCCACAACCCCATCAGCTTGATGGCACAATTATCCGCTCGGGACTGGGTCTTCTTCCTTGTGGGACTTGCAGCGTGGACCGCTGATGCATTTGATTTCCATGCCCTATCAATCCAGACCAAAAAGCTCTCAGACTACTATGGTCGCTCGAAGACCGACATCACAACAGCTATTACGCTTACCTTACTTTTGAGAAGCGTTGGAGCGGCCTTCTTCGGGTTTGCTGGAGATAAATATGGTCGGAAATGGCCTATGGTGCTCAACATGATCGTACTCGGCCTTCTCCAGATTGCTACCATCTATAGTCATACATTCCAACAGTTCCTGGCAGTTCGCAGTCTCTTCGGGCTGTTCATGGGTGGGGTGTACGGAAACGCTATTGCTATGGCACTGGAGCATTGCCCGTAAGTCTTCTCGATCTTTTACAATTCTTTCATACTAATTATCTCCCGCCAAAGTGTGAATGCCAGAGGTCTCATGTCAGGAATTCTCCAGCAGGGATACTCTCTCGGATACGTTCTCGCGGCATGTGCCAATCTTGGGGTCGGTGGTGCTACTGATAGTTGGAAGACTGTATTCTGGGCCGCAGGTAAGAAGAGCCAAATATTGACGGGTGTTCAAAGCTTGTATTAATGTATTCTTCTAGCGGGTATCTCCATCGGCGTCGGCATTATTCGAATCTTCTTCCCGGAGTCAAAACAATTCCTCGAGGCTAAGAAAGCAGGCAAGCGAAGCATGAGTGCAGGCGAATTCTGGAAAGAGACCCAAGTTATGTTGGCCAAGGAGTGGAAAATGTGCATCTACTGCATCATTCTCATGACCTGGGTAAGCTTCAAGTCACTATGCCTTCCCCCATCGGCAAATCAGCAACTAATCCAGCCTTTTCAAGTTCAACTACTACTCCCACACATCGCAAGACTCCTACACCACCTTTTTGCTCACGCAAAAGCAACTTAACAATTCCGGTGCTTCGAGGGCATCAATTTTAATGAAGACTGGGGCCTGCGTGGGTGGAACAATTATCGGATACCTGTCACAATTTGTAGGACGTCGTCGGGCTATCATCGTTTCGGCCTTGATGTCCGCAATCCTTATTCCAGCATGGATATTGCCAACAGGAGAGCCAGCACTCAGCGCCACCGGCTTTTTCATGCAATTCTTCGTTCAAGGTGCATGGGGTGTCATCCCAATCCACCTGAACGAATTGTCTCCACCCGCCTTCCGGTCTTCCTTCCCGGGTATCACATACCAGGTTGGTAATATGATCAGCTCTCCTTCGGCTCAGATTGTCAACGCCATCGCCGAATCTACCTGGGTGACGACCCCAAAGGGTATTAAGGCGTCCGCGTATGGCCCGGTTATGGGTGTTGCGACTGCCATTATTGCAATCGGCATTATGGTCACCACTGCCCTTGGACCTGAGAAGCGTGGCCGTCGGTTTGAACTTGTCGTTGCTGCAGTGGAAGAGCATCCTAATGTGAAGAATGCGGATGTGGAACTGGGTGAGGAACGCAAAGCAAATGATGAAATGATTGAATTGGCAGATCAGAAGAAGTAGATGGATTCTGGGTTGACGAATGCCCTATTTGCGGGCGTACACACTGACCATGTCCGTGCCCTTCGCCACCTCATACGATCGTGCAGGCTTGACATACAAGGATCTCCTGAAGTCTCCGATCTCCGAGGAAGCATTTTTCTTCTCTTTCCCGTCTTCGCCAACTTCTCCAGTAATTACACCGTCGCCTCCTTCAGCTAGCAGATTCCAATGAACTCCTTTCAACCCCCAAGGCGGTCCTGGTAGCTTCGGATCCTTATATAATGGAAACTCTAGGCAAATAAGCAAACCTCCCGACTTGGTTACCCGAGCTATACTTGCCGCCCACTTCTTCCGTTGCTTGGGGTGCATAGCACATAAAAACTATCCAAGGATGTCAGAAACTTTAGAGTCATCTTAAGGATGTTCATGTAACCCACTGTGTAGTCATAAACTACATCGAACTTAGTGTTCACATCAATTCCTCCTTTGAAATCCCACTGGGAAGTGAAGAAATCTCCCTGGAAGAATGTCACAGAGCCAGGGGTGCTAGAAGGCCGCTGCTCGGTACCAAAGTGATATGAGGATGGCTTTGCTAACTCCGTAGATGAATATTTTTCTGCTTCCTTGACGGCTGTGTCTGAAATCTCTAGTCCATAGGCGTCGAACCCATGCAATGCCAGCATCACCACATCATAACCACGACCACAGCCCTGCAAAGTGAATCAGCAGATGAATCAAAGGAGTAAGGCTAGGATTTGGGAAACTAGGTAGCGACTGACTGGAACAAGTGCCTTCTTCCGTTTACCATCCGCTGTAAACGGGTTGAAAAGCCTTGTTTCTTGCTCGACGAGGTCTACCAAGGCTGGAGAAGCTTTCCCCCGGTCCCATAAATCACTTTCTCCAAAATCCCATAGATTGGACCATCCAGATCCATGATCCTCAATGGGGCTGTTTCAGTTAGACATAATTCGTACTATCTTCAATGCCGGCGAGTCCGGGGGCACAAATATAATCAGTGGATGGTCTGTCACTCACCGATCGAGGAAAGTATTGAGCAAGCGGCCACCCCCACTGGATTGAGATGTATTCGATTGAGCCATCGTAATTAAGATTTGCCGGCGGGCGATACAGAGCCTTCCCGAATGAAATTTTAGAAAAGTAATGAGGTTTGAATGAACTCGGGCCGTAAAGCGATTCCTCCAGCACGTGACGTTGATTGGTATGAGTATCTATTCAGGTTCTCAAATCAACGCAAATGGAAAGGTGAGCTGGAGTAAGAGGACATGAATTAAAATATAGAGAACTAGAAACATCTCAAGCGATTTGTGAGAGATTTAGATCTAGATGTCCAACGGCTGGTCTGCAATTTGTCACCTTTTCTGGTATCTCGATTGGACAACTCTAAAGGCACTTCCGCAGAACCCCACCAAACGCCGAGGAAAGTGGGGGATTCCGCCGTAGGATGCAAGGAGTCATAAAAGCCCCGGGAAGCCGAGAGCCCGGCAAGGAGTCACGGATACTATGTACAACATGGAAGAAGTCTAAATATCCGTCGACTTGGCAAAGTCCTCCCATGCTTCCAATTCATTGAGTGTTTGCTCGCATTTCTTGCGAATAACGGAAACTGCGTCGGACCCCAACGGCAACGAACTCGGCCATGGCTTGCCGGTGGCTTCGTTCTCTCCTTTCACAACGTCCACAATGCGTTGGACGCCTTTCACAGTATTGCCGGGCTGGTTTCCGTTAAAATCGTCAAAACTCTTGGATACAACCTGCGAAATGACTCGATAGTCTTCAAGCTTGGAGATGGATCTGCTGCTCGAGGCCTGGTTGAGAAGCTCCGTGCGGAAGGCGCCCGGTTCAACGATAAGCGTTTTGATTCCAATTGGTTCTAGCTCCTTAGATAGAGACTCTGCAGCGTCTGAGTGGAATGTCAGCTTCCATATATCTTACAAGGAATACACTCTATTGGCGTACAGTGGATCGCAGCCTTCGAGGCACAGTAGGCCCCGACGGCTGGCAAACCGTCCCAAGCAACCATCGAGCCGACGAAGACCACTACGCCAGCCTTGTTACCTCGCAGGTGCGGTAGGAAAGCCCGAGTGGTGTTCAAAGTTCCGAAGACATTGGTGTTAAATTGGCTGAACCACTGGTCATGGCTGGTAGATGGTGGGGATGTTATGTTAGACTCGGGACTAGGTTTCCTTTGGTCAATCTCAGGCTTGGATATACCTGTTCTCTTCAAGTAGTCCGAACTGGGTATATCCAGCATTGTTCACCAGTATGTCAACCCTTCCAAAAATGGAGATAGCCTCCTCGGCTTTGCGATTGAGCTCGTCCTGAGATGCAGTCACATCTAACTGTAGAGTCGCGGCACCGAGGTCTCTCATATGAGTGATTCGTTCTACATTCCGTGCGGTCGCAATTACCTTGTCACCGCGCGCGATCACTTCTTTTACAAACTGTGAACCAAAGCCCGATGAAGTACCGGTAATGAGCCAGATCTGTGGAGCCATCGCGATGTAATTGCAAGGCGAGACTTGAGTAAATAATGAGGCGCGTTGCTTTCTTTCAAATCTGAGGATAGAGATGGACTGTTTCGACAGGTTATGTATCTTCAAAACTTCCAACTGTGAGGTGACGTGGGGCGCCGAAGAGTTTCGGAATCGCCGTCAGTCATCGGTATTCCCAAAAAGGGCAATTCAGAGTGGCCAGACATACAAATTTCTAAACTTTAGACAAGTTTCCAGAGGTTTGGAAAAGCCGATACACAGAACTATTTTCCAGAACCTCTATTATTACGCCAAAATCTGCTTTCAGTTGAGCTCTTTTTCGTTCGAGAGTGATTCCCAGACCTGGGAGTGGTGCTCGACGTCATCACTCCTGACAAGCGATCTGCGCACAAGGCCCGCAATTCAACCTTCTCGTGCGGTCGCACGCCAGGCTAAATGTGACGATAGAAACTTGGAAAATAGCCAGAACCAATGGATTATCACGAAAAATCCATCGGGTAAACCGTTTCCTGAGCTGACGCAGCTAAGCTTTCCGATGCGTTTCAGACGACTTGATTTGCGCACGGCCGGGTCCAAGGTCCATGATGCTTCCAAGTGGAGAGTACACTTTGGAGAAAGAAATCGACAGCGAATGAAACCTCGAGATCTGATCCAGTGCTTGAACAGGGGTCCCAGCTGTCAATCTTAATAAGCCATGGCCCCGGGAAACCCCAAGTGCTTGCTTGGGCTGGTCATCCGCTTGCCTTTCTTGAGACACTTTTTCTTGACACGTTATGAAGTCAGGAACAGTCGTCTACTCGAGCCTAGCTGCGGCGTTATGTATCGCTTTAGTGACTTGTCTCGCTGGAGCGTTAACGCATCATCACACAATTAGTTCTGGCTCGGTAAGTCTGGCGGTCGGCAAAGATGGGGGGAATAAATCGAGTCCGTTGCTCTATGGGATGATGTTTGAGGTAAGGGTATTTGAAGATTTTCTTGCTGCAAAATTGCTCATCACTATTTATTTCAGGAAATGGACCATTCAGGTAAAATCCCATGATCGACACACTCCTAGTCAGGTAGTTACAATGAACTGACAAGGCTCAATTAGGGGATGGCGGTATTCATGGACAACTTCTTCAAAATAACGGGTTTCAAGGATCGACTCTTGGATTGACCTCTTATGCCCCAGTGGGTGATGCGCAAATATCTCAGGATATCTCGAAACCCGTGAGCGCCGCAATCAAGTCGTCGCTCAGTGTCTCAGTTCCAGAAGCTGTATCAGACTTCGTCGGCTTTGCAAATACCGGTTATAATGGAGTGCCGGTCGTGAACGCGACATATAATACCTCATTCTGGATGATGGGCAACTATACTGGCATCATCAACATCCAATTGATTGGCTCGCATAGCGGTATAGTCTATGCGGATCACAATCTGACCGTCCAGAGCACGGCCATGAACTTCACACAATTCGGTGCAACGTTCAACTCGATTGAATCGCCGGATGGAGATAATGAGTGGCATTTAACCTTTGACGGATCGAAGGTTGCTGGTAGTTCATTGAATTTTGGCTATATTCAATTATTTCCGCCCACCTACCATAACAGGGCCAATGGGTTACGCAAGGATCTAGCTAAGGTTTTGGAAGAGGCTAATTCGACATTTCTTCGTTTCCCAGGTGGGAACAACCTCGAGGGGTTGCAAGTTGACAGCCGGTGGAAGTGGAACACAACTATTGGGCCGCTTGTCGATCGGCCTGGCAGAGACAGCGACTGGTTCTATCCAAACACGGACGCGCTTGGTCTTGATGAATATCTATGGTGGTGTGAAGACATGAACATGACCCCGCTCCTAGCCGTCTGGGCTGGCAAGTCCTATGGAGAGATTCTATCAGGCCCCGACTTGGAGCCGTTCGTTGACGACATTATGAATGAGTTGGAATACCTTCTTGGGAACTCGACCACACCTCAGGGTAAAATTCGGGCTCAGAATGGACGCAAGGATCCCTGGAAAGTCGACTACGTGGAGATTGGCAACGAAGATGATCTGACGCATGGATGCGCAACCTACCCTGATCGTTTCAACCAAATCTACAAAGCGATACACGACCAATACCCCGGCATCATCCTTGTCGCCTCCAACGGTGACCTCAACTGTCTCCCATCGCCTCTCCCCGAGGGTGTGATTATCGATTTACATTTGTATCGCCAACCGGATGATTTCGTTGCCCTCTTCAATCAATTCGATAATCAGCCCCGGAATCAGTCTGTCATGGTCGGTGAATATGGCTGTCGCAATACGACGAGTGCTAAGGGCACTTATTGGTCGTTTCTGCAGGGAAGCTGCAGCGAGGCCGTGTATATGATTGGCATGGAGCGAAACAGCGACATCGTGAAAATGGCAGCGTATGCACCCATGTTAGAGCACTTTGGATTCATTTCGTGGTCGGTACGTATCATTTTCCTCTCGAGGATACGATTGGCTCAAACAGTGCTAAACTTTGATTCTTTCAGCCCACCCTTTACGGCTTCGACTCCAGTCCGGGGTCGATCACACCCTCGACATCCTACTTTGTGCAGCAGATGTTTGCGTCCAATAAAGGGAACACGATACTGCCAGTGACCTCTTCGTCGAATTTCGGGCCTCTGTATTGGGTAGCCTCGAGGACGGATTCGCAGTACTTTGTCAAGCTGGCTAATTACGGCCTGGACGAGCAGAACGTTACCATCAGCATTCCTGACACTCACTCAGGGAAGCTATACATGCTCGCAGGAACACAGTTTCAAGCCAATCAGCCTCATAGTATCACGATCCAAACGGTGACAAGCAATGTTCGGGACGACGGTGGGAAGTATGCAGTGACGATGACACCATGGGCGATCGCGGTGTTGGCCGTGTCGTGAATGTTAGGAAACTCCAATTAGGTTTCTACGTTCCTGGAGGGATACGTAATTCACGGTAGCGATACAACGGCTCGCTACATAGATGAGCCACCCGGAAATGTTAGATTTGACTTCCTTTTTCCCAGCCATGCCAGCCTTTTCTTTTGGGTAGATCTACAAGTAAGAATGCGGACCAGGAGATAGCACGTGAGATGAAGTGAGGGGGTTGACAAAAATTGGCTTTTTGAGAACCAATGAGTCGGCCGAGGAGTCGCCACCATCTGCAAATATGACCCAGTATGACAATTGGTATGGGCCCCGGATGGCTCGGCTGCATTTTGAGCTCAAATTCCGGGGTGAAGAGGCCCCAGTCGGCCCCAACTAGCCTTCAAATAGCCCCCACTCCCTCCCATCTGCTATGTACTCTGTAGACTGGTGAAACACGACCATATCATCTGGAACCTGGGGACTGGGGTACAATCTAGGCATATTGGCCTGAATAAAGCTAATTCATGATGACCCCCCGCAATTCCGAGCGAGTCCAAACCAGACGGCTACCGTGGTTCGACTGGCCATTGGCCAATCGTGTGATGCGACCGTGCCCGGTATGACCATAACATCTCCAGATCGATTGCATGTACGAGTCATCACACGACCATCTCAGGTGGTGTGATGTACCCATGTACTTCCTTACCCCGCATTTTGGGCTCGTATATAACCTCAGATCAGCGTCTTTGTCCTCTTGGTTCCGTAGTGATATTTACACATTACTTTCACACAAACTACATTCACGATGAGCAACATAACGATTCCCGAGGAGGAGCTGAACAAGTACAACTCTCAATGGGTCTCCTTCCACATTCGGGACCATCTTAAGGATGGAGAAATCACAGTGCAGAACACTGTCATCGAAGGGTACCGTAGCCTTCCCCAGGGTATTGGGCATCACCCGACTGACACCACCCATTAGTGGCGAATTCCATAGCCCGACAGACCGTCGTAAGTCGCTCCACGAAGATGAGATCGACTACATGACCATCGAGTCCGAGGGCGTTGGCGAGATCTGTGCTCGTGGCCGTCGAGGCAGCGAGGGTCGCCTGGACCTCTTCCATGGCGATACCAAGATTTGCGAGCTCCACTGGGAGAATCGTGGAGGAGAGTTCCACAACCTGGTCGAGGTCTTGGATGATAATTCCAAGTATAGAGTCGAACATGGGGGATGGAGTCCACAGGCAGGTCCGCTGGGACATGTCTTCGTGGACATTTCGGAGGCGAAGAAGAAATAATTCTTCGCTTGGTGATGCATGAAGGAAATGGAGGTTATCCCTTCTCCTTCCGGTCGATACACTGCGTGTCTAGACCTTGTTCTCATTTATTATGTCCCAGTTTTATTATTTTGAATAGCCCGAAACTACTTGGCTTCTGCACCAAGACGAATGATTATGAATTTTTTAATGATGATCCTGGAAAGTCCCCTGAAACCTGTATCTAAATTCCACTTTCACCTAGTAAGTAGACTCCAATTTCATCGGCTTTGAGGGCTCATTGGACGTAGATACCGCTCAAAGTCAATCCTTCCCCAGTTGGTCTCCCTGACGCCATCATCTCGTCTACATTGATGAATCAGGTAATGAGGAGCGATCTGGGTTCGGGCGGACGGGCTGGCCCTCGGTACGCATCCATAGGTCTCATTCCCGGAGGAGCTGAAAGTTACCAGGTATTTCTTGCACATTTTCGTGCTGGAAATCTGGTGCATCTTTCGCAATATGGATTTTCCTATTACCACTGCTTTTGTGTGGATGAACGCTGTAGAGTACCTAAGAGGGATGGGATAGTCAAGTCGATAATGAGGCAATTTCTAATTTTCTCACAAGCAACGAGGGAAAAAGAGCGCAGCAAAGGGTGGGAAGGTGGGGGAAGAGATGGTGGAAGTTTTGAGGAGTATCCAGCCTGATATACATGCTCCATGATCTGGGCCTGCCGATGCTCCCGCAAGCAGCGTGCGACTGCCGACTTCCGTAGAACGCGTAAAAATAGCTTCGAAATAGTATTCGTCCATCTCTCATCTTCGCGTGTCAATTGGGAGTGACAAAATCCAGGCTGCAACTTGATGAGAATCAACCACGAGCCTGTAAGTTTCGAAGCTAGTTCTCAATCCCACAGGATTTGCAGGAGTTTCAAGTCGCGTAATGCGGCTCCATGTTGACGGCTTCTTCGCCATTGAGATTTCGAAAGGTGTTCTCTACTTGCCATGTAGGGAGGTTTTTCAGGCGTGACCTTCGCCTATCACGATTGGCAGATGAGCCAGTGCGGGGGGAAATGTCTTCGCCGTTCCTACCATCTGTGATACGAGTAGTACCGTTATAAGGGAGGTGTTGATGACATTGACGGTGGTGCTACGCTACTTTTGTGATCCACGACGAGGATGATAAGATCCTATACTAAGTTTCGTCTCGTTTAATCAGGTGACAGCTGTGATGCTGTTGAAGATATATACGGAGCTCCATTTCTATTGCTGAATTCTTGCTATTGGCGATGACTGTTAATACCTCTCACCCAGCTATCATCTCGACGTTGCCGTGCCCTCTTCGACAAGGAACAAGATGCGCATCAGATTCTGCCAGGAATGACTTAATCTTGCACCGAGGTATCACAACAGCCTATAGTATAACCACTAATGAGTTCGTGGATCCGAATCCCATATTTGGCAGTGACTGCCCAGGACAATCCATGGCCCGACTGTGAATACTGCGTGGCTGTTTAAGGGGATGCTATTATGATCGATGAATAAGACAGAGGAAAATCATCATTAATTCCTCCAACTCATTACATATATCCTGCTCTCAGTAAAAGTACGATTTAGTAACTCATTCTTCAAAAGTAAGTCTCTATAGGTTTTTGATGGATTACGAGTAGCCCTTTTACGGGAATAGCCAAAGGTCGCCTATTTCAAATACACGCATCGCCATTTCTAAAGGAACGAGAGGTTCATATTAATACCAGCATATACAGTTAGCCGAGTTAGTAGAACCCGAGAATGCTATAGGTTTAGGGCAGGCGAGATATCTCCGGTGGCGTATAATAGGCAACTTGCGGCGAATGCGCGCTTTGTAGCATGGAATGAAATCCGGGATTCACCTTAATTGCTAAAGACTTAGTCCACCCGACTTCGTCCTTAGGTGAATACTCATCCCCTTCAGGAGCTTCGCGTAGGTCGAACCACTGAATATATCAAAATCTGTTTCCCCTCGGAATTTTCGTATGGAAAATAATCTCAAGGCATTAGAATTCATACCGCTAGATCTCTTATAAGCAGCCGTTAGGCGAAGGGTGGGATTGAATATTCCACGTTATTCATTAATGAGGGTTTGTCCCCCGCCGTCCCTGATATACGATCGGAGCTTAATAGAACCGATGCTACGGTTATTTCTCTCGCTCCAGAAAACTCTCCCACTTTGTATCGCCGTCGTAATAACAGGTGCGGTAGAAAACAAAGCCCAATGTTTCTTCACGGTCACGTGCCAATGTCCCGAAGGACGCGAGTGGCTTCAGACTCGTTCATAGCCAGAGCCGTTCTGACCAAGGGAGAGAGTGGTCTAAGTGATAGGTCGAGGAAGATTAGTGGTTCTCTGCACCAAATCATGAGACATTAGATACATGACGTAATTTACGGCCGAGTCGTGCGCCCTAAACACGGTAGGAAAGGCGTTCGAATTGTGATATTTCAACCTACAAGGATTGCTTTAAGTTGATATGATATTTGAGTATCAAATATATCATATCATGCATATCCATCTGCCCATAGGCTGTTCTGATGAGTATACATCACGATGTCGGCATTTATTTTTGGTGATGCATACAAATAAATTCGTAGTCTACTTTTTCATACATTATTAGGAGCTAATCCACCAGGAATCAAGCAGTTTTGCATTGAAATTATTCAGATATAGCCTCCTGGAATATTGCGCTTACTATGGTGTTTAGGATGTACGGCTCGGCCGGGTCGGCGGTCAATTAAGTTAAAACAGTGTGTTTGCATACGTCAGCCGCGCTTACCTGAGTACTATTGCCACATGATAAGTCGATTGTTTAGGCACCCACTAGATGAATTCATCATTGCAGAAACAGCTTGATCACATCGTATCATTATGTTCAACTCTGTGTTTGTTCAGCGTATCGGGTGATTGGGAAGCCGCGTGAACTACCAATGATACTGACATCCCAAATACTCAATCATCGTCCAATGCGAGGGGCACGCAATGCACATGTACCAGGTATACGAGGCTCAAGAGAAGTTTACACCTTTCAAAGCAGGCAAGCAAAAGGAGTGGGAATAATTCCGGAATTGGTGAGAAGGTAGCATCAGTCAAGGAGTGATGCAAGAAATCGCAAATTCTTCCCTATTTGGTTCCCACCCAGCGCTGCACCTAAGCTTCCTCAAGCGATCTGACTGCAGTAGCGTCCTCCGGTGAGGTGAGGTCTATGGCGCATCGAAAACCTTCTGTAAGACTCCGATTGGAACGAACGCCTTCATGACAAGGGGTTGCTACCAATAGAAATCTATTCTCACAATCAGGCTCGCGACTTTTCTTATGCGCCCACGCGGCGAGTAGCATGGCATGGAACCTTGGGGCCAAACACGAGGAACCAAGGCACTGGGAGCATATACGATCTGTAATCTGAAGGATCAGAGAGAGAGAAAGTACTTTCTTATCAACAATCGATTAGAAATGCACCCTTGGTATTATTTGCGGAATAATGAACCGTTTAAGTGGCGCGCCTTCAGCCTTGTCTTTGAAGGGGGGGCTAAAAGACATGTGCTTGTCAGATGTACAAGAAGGATTGTTGACTCCGTCATAATGCTCAAGATAGTCCCAGATTAAAACTAATTGGGCGCAACTTCAAAAGCTCTGTCCGTCAAACCCCTACCCAATCTCACAATAATGAGTGCACAGAGCACGAGCACGAGCACGACCTCCGGGAATGCCCTCATGGCAACATCCAAACCCCTCAAGCTCAAGGCGAGCTGTGACTTTTGTTCGTTGACTAAGGTCAAATGCGATCAGAAACACCCGCAGTGTCTTCGGTGTATCAAGAGTGGCGTGGTATGTCACTACAGCGAGACTCGTCGAATTGGAAAAGCACGGCAGCTGTATGCTGCATCCCACCGTCACGATCACTCCAAAGATCCTTCCTCACAAGGGGTCTGGCGCCAGCAATCATTATCCTCATCATCCACTCCTCAACAGAATCCAACAATTCTGGCAGAGATGGTACCCTCCCGTAGTCAATCCAAGAATCAAACCCTGCATGACCATTGTAGGTCATCTGAGCAACCCATGTCCTTGAACCTATTCGACAACTTCTTCACCCAGACAGTGGTACCGAATGAGAGTGCGGAGCCGATGGAAGGGCGAGTCACTCAAGCGATGACGATCCCTCATTCTACAGACCACGACAGGGAAGTAGGAAGGTTCCTCAGCCCCGAATCCCCAAACGACCTACTGCAACCATTGGACGACCCCAAGGATATGGCTATGGACGACGTGGAATATATACAAGAGATGGGGCAAAATGATGACCAGGTATGGCTGTCTGCACTGCCAGATGGGCCCATGTTCTCCTCCACAGGCCATGCAGAGGACTGCATGAAGCGGGTGTTTGTGATACTCCAGATGTTCCATGTGGCCAGGGCATCTTGTACGTGGTCGAGCCGCCCAGCTAGCATCCCGGTTCGGACTTTGGACACGGCGCTCAAGAACAATCGCGCGGCTATGAACACCGTACGCGAGGTGCTCGACTGCCCCTGCGCCCGCAGCATGAAAGTGGCCCTCTTTCTTGTTATGATCACACACCAAGTCATGGAATCGTACCGGGCTATCCTCTCACAGCAGAGCAATCCGTCGTCTCCACAGCAATCGGTGCCGGACACCGATATCTTTTTGTGCGACATTCCGCTCACCATTGGTGGGTACTTATTAGACAACGAGATGCGCAGCAAGGTTATTTTCCAAGTTATCCGCTCCGAGATAGACAAAATGGGCGCACTTTTGACAACCTTTACACGATACGCCGAGGGTATGAGCAAGCAGCCCGACGAAGCAGTTTTGCGTACATATATCCGAGGCTTGCAAGAGACGCGAGACGATATGTTTCAGTCACTGAAACAATAGCGTGTTGAGCCATCACGAGACTCATAAACGAAGGAAGAGCGAGATGTACGTTTGAATGATTGGGGTCAATGAACGACTTTACGGCTATATTCTATGTACTACAGTCTACAAGTAGAGCGGCATCAGAAGTAGACGTGTCTTGAAGCATTCTCACACAAATGCGATTTTAGAGTCCTTGTCAATTTTATGCAAATCTCCTAGTATCATAGCGGAATAGTTGAATAGTGGCTTAAGATATCCCAAATTAATTCCTTAATAAAGTACATAAGCCACGAGAACCAACAAAGGAACTCGAACGCAGCCTTGGGGAATCTTCAAGCTTTGACTTATCAAAAAGAGAGCAGATTGATCCGCAGGACTTGCGTTACGCGCGTCGAGCTCGCATAAGCTTATCCGCCTAGAGATACCGATCGAGTCGTTGAAGGCCGGCCCGTATTGAAGTTCCGAGGTTATGCGCGCCGACGAACGCCACCGACAGCCAAGGTGTCATCAATGTCTATTCTAGAAATTACCCGGACGATGGCACAATTCGTCAGCGAGAGCCTTGTTCACGACAAGGATCTATTGTACCTTTGCCACCGGAAAGATTAAATCAAAAGTACGCCTAACTAAATTACCATGATCTGCTTATTCCTCACGCGTCCCCTCGTAAACCGCAAGCCGATTGGCGTCTTGAACCCCCCCATAGGACTACACGAATACGATATATTATTTTTAAAGTCGAGGCGTATCAATGTTGGATGACAAGGTCTAGAAGGGTCGATAGTACCACCTATCTTTCAAATAGAAAACTCAAACGTTCTATTCATTCTATTCTAAGCAATAGCGCATTAAATCAATTTATCATCAAGGAAACATTCGACACGCATCCTCATCGGCCCTCGTGTAATCCTTGTTCTCCTTCATTCCCTTGCCAGAATAACATATGACCAATCAATCCGACATGACTTTGCCAATGATCTCCGAAAGCTTTGTCGCTGCAGGCTCCCGAACCATCGTGAAATGGTTGGCATTCTCGATGCTTTCGATCCGTATGGCCTGCCCAACAAGCTGGTCCCATCCATTTGGCCCCAAGTCTGTGCGATTCTCCAGCAGCCACCCCATTTCCTTCGGATCATCACTTTCCGGCTCAGGCCGAGGGTCACTAGGCAACTTGCAAACCCCATCCCGGGCCCAGATTATAGTGGTTCGGGGCACGGCGGAAGCCGGCTTAAACGGAATCGGGCGCCAGGCGTCCAGGGCATCGATGAAAGCGAGGAAATGCTGGATCAGCCACGTGGGAGGAGTCTGTCCACCATGTGCGCCAAAAACCCCTGCCTTTTCAAGGAAGTGGTAAAAACGTGGCGGGAGCTTGTCGAGGCCAATTGGATTGGGTGAGTCCAGGAGAATAAGTCGCTCAACGACTTCGCCTTGTTGGACAAGGTATTGAGCCGCGTCGTAAGCGGCGATTCCGCCGGCAGACCACCCTGCTAGATTATAGGGGCCCGTGGACTGACGGCGGCGGATTTCAGCAACGTATGAAGGTGTCAGATCTTGCAAAGCGCATTTCAGATCTTGTGGTTTGCGCATGTAGGGGCAGTTCAGCCCATAGACACGTAGTCCGGGAGCGATGTTGGGGAGCGAGGCGTATGAAGTTGAAGAGCCGGATCCATCGGGGAAGAGGAAAAGCGTCTGTGAGCAGGAGGATCGACCCTGTAGGAGAATTGATGTCGCCGATGGATGGTTTTGAACGAGGGTGATCTCAGAGGCAGCACTGAATTGAGCAGGGATCTTGTCCGGTACTCCCAGGGTAATTTGGAGAGCCTTCCTCGCAGCAGCAGCGTTGGTGCATTCCATGAAGAAATCAGGAGACAGATCCAAGCCCATTTCCTCGCGTAGACGACCCAGTGTCAGTAATGATAGCAGAGAATCTACTCCTACTTCAGCAAAATCGTCAACCTTGGCCAATTCCTTAGTACTGATGCCAACCTCCTGGGCCAACACTGAAAGAATCAATTCCACAGTAGTATCAAGGCTATTGACCCCAGAATCAGGCATCGGTTCTTCATCACTTGCAAGGGGAGAGGTGGCAGTCGTGTCGTTTTCACTTGATGTGACACTGGCGGAATCACAACTGTCTGCAGAAAGAGAAAGTCCCAGATATTTGCGCAAAGAGAGCACAGTTGTACAATCCTCGAACAGTGATGGAGGTGCATCAAGATGCAAGGACTCACGCAATGTTCCAAGAATTGTCAGTGACATGAGAGAGTCTACCCCCATGCTAGCGAATTCCACGTCGTCAGTGAGCTGGTCGAGTGAAATTCCACTCTCGTCTGCAATTACTTGGAGGACTTTGTCCCAGACTGTAGGCATAGAATCCTCTATCTTTTTGCTCCGCGTCTCGGGTCTCGCGCTTGCCTTGGGGGCAGAGAACGTCTTTGGGCTTGCACGGGAACTAGGCAGAGTCGGTTTTGGTGCTGGCAGCAACATTTCCAGGATTCGACGGGCAACGCGCTGGAAAGTGACGGCACCATAATGAGCCACGATGACTTGATCAGAAAGAACAAAAACGTCTCCCGAGAACAAGTTCTCCTTGTCGATGACAGGCTGCATCTTGACATAAGTTTGGTAAACGCGATCGACCGAGAACCTTTCCGAAACACGCATGAAGCTCCAGCCGTGGTTGACGAAGACAAAGTCATTGGAATTGAGAGTGTCGTTTGAATTCATGACAAAGCCTGTCAGGTGCCCAAAGCTATCGCACCAGAAGGGGTTCAACTTGTACTCTCCTTGACTTTGTTGAAGGCACACTTTGGCTGTTGCCTCCAGCTCGGCGCTGTCAAATATGACCTCCTGCATACCCCGATAGGAAGAATCATATTCAACAACGGATGAAAATAGGCGATAAGCAAGACCTTGGTGCACTTTGTGCACTGATCCCGTGTCAACACCTTTCCGAAGTGTGTCAATACTGCGTTGGATGAGATACTGCTGTCGTAGCCATGTCTCTCGCCATATTCTGGGATCTTGCAGATCGATCGTGCAACGGCAGTGATCAATAGTCCGCTTGCCAGAGATGTCGATGCTGTAGATTTCCATTATTCCGCGATGGGTGCTCCAGTCAAAATCCAAAACAGCTCGGAAGGATTGCGGGCCGTTCTCCTTAATAACAAGGGCTTTTTCCACAGCCATGTCTGCCACGTCGGGAGCAAGTTGTTGGTCACCCCCTCGTTTCTCGGCGAGATACATTGCCAAAGTATAGGCAACATCAGCATAAAGGGACTAAGGAAAGTGAAGCTGTTAGCCTTATTTGGGGTGTCCACACCACTTTCGTTTACGGAACTCACCGATGGGCACAAAATGAGCCCATTGACCTTGTGACCCAGAGCGACTGGCAGAAGTTCTGGGTCATGGAAGTCGGATTCGATGACAATGTGTGCAGTTTGATCCGTTATCTTCTCCTCAATAATTCTCTGCACCGACGCGCTGATTCGGGAAGAAGCCGGACTTGGCCGATCCAGCGAGATGGTCGCCTCTGAGCTGCCTTTCGTGAGACAAAAATTATTCCTGTATTGGATCCAGTAGTTCTCAAGGTCCCATTTGTACGAAGGAAGCGCGATTACTCGGTGGCTCATTGAGAAATCGCGATGATATTCATCCCAGTTGATGTGTATCCCACCGGAGTGCAAAACGCTCAACGACTCTGAAAGGGTCTTGAAAGCATCCTCATTGCGTCTCAGAGATGGACAAGCTCGGAAGTCCGGAGTCATTATATTCTGAATCATTCGCGTAAGAATTGGATGAGTACCAAGCTCGACTGCAAATCCCTTCGTGTCAATGACACCGATAGATTTGGCGGACTCAACGGCCTGAAGGAAGCGGACAGTCTCGCGACAATGCCGCCGAATGTATTCGGAGTCGACAACTCCTTGTTCTTGGATGACCTTTCCTAGTAAGGTTGACACAAAGGGAATCTTGGGCTGCTGAAAAGACAGCTGCTCAGCAATCTCTTCTAGACCGTCGAGCACTGGATCAACCTGGCAAGAGTGGAATGCAAACGGAAGGGTAAGCTTGGTACTTTGAAGTCCAGCTTCAGATAGTCTTTGGCAAATTTTGTCAATCTCAAGGTTTGAACCACTGAGAACTGTGTCCTGCGGTCCATTGATGCAGGCCACTTCATGGGGTAGATTCTGGAGAATCTTCTGTAGGTGGGACACCGAGCTTTTGACAGCGAGCATTCCATGAGATCCAGGGGTACAAAGGGTCTCCAAAAGCTGTGCCCGCGAACCGGTCAAATAGATGGTGTCGCTTACGCTCAAGATACCAGCAACTTGAATGGCTGCAAATTCTCCAAGGCTATGACCCAGCACATACTGTGGTACAATGCCCCAGCTCTGCCAGAGCCGTGCTAAGGCCATCTGGATCATGACAGTACCAAGCTGGATGATAGTCGGTGACAAATCTTCGATCCTGATCGAACCTGTGATTAAAGGAAGAGAAGAGGGGAATCCGTGAGCCTTGCTAAGGGCATCGAAATTGTTGATATCCGTCCGGAAAGAGAAGATGTGTTGGTACAATTGCTGCGCCATTGCCGTTTGCTGTGCCCCCTGGCCCGTGAGTAGAAAGCCTGCACCAAGTGGCTTTGAGGAGTTTGGGTTGATATCTTCAGATGCAAGGTCTAGAAGACGGCGCTTGATCTGAGACAATTCGCTACCGGAAACAGCGACACGTCTGGAGTGGTGCATTCGCCGGGCAGTTGTTGTATAAGATAGTTGTGCTAAAACCTCTGCACGTGTTTCAGAGCCAATGAAGTCTGCAAGAGCCAGCAGATTCTGCTTCAGAGACTTTGACGATCGAGCAGAAATGGCCACAACATGATGTTTGCGTGGGTCTTTTTCGTCAGAACTGTCTACAGCGGCGGCTTCTTCCACCAAGACAGCAGTATTACCACCGGCGGCTGAGAAGTTGTTGACAAATGCTCGACGGATAGCCTTTTTCGAGAATGGCCACTCCTTCTCCTTCAAAGCAATATGGACATTGCGCTCATTGAGATCGGTAGGGAAACCATGATTAATCTTCGTCTTGATACCGCAGTGTGGAGGGATGCGGTTTTTCTGGAACATGAGCAACACTTTGATCAGTGCCGTAACTCCAGAGGCCGATTCACCATGGCCAACATTGGACTTGACTGAGCCAAGGTGCAAGGGCATTCCAAGTGGGCGACTCTTGTCCCATGCGAAAGTGTCAAGAACAGACTTCATTTCCACGGCGTCCCCAGCTTGAGTGCCTGTGCCGTGCATCTCGATATAGCTGATCTCATGCGGATGTATGCCCGTCTCGCTCAGAATTTGTCGAAATAGGTATTCTTGTGCATCAGCCAATGGCCGAGTTATAGAGACAGCTTCTGCCGAGTGCGATGTGTGGGTGCCTCGAATCACACCAAAAATAGGGTCCTTGTCAGCAATCGCGTCGGAGAGACGCTTCAGGACAACAGATCCCACACCATCCGCACGACAGTATCCATCTGCACCATCATCGAATGTCTTGCAATTGCCCGTGGTCGACAGGAAATGACCTCGGTCTAAGCCCGCAAAATTATCGGGGTTGGTCATCACATTCGTGCCTCCGGCAAGGGCTGTGTCGCATTCTCGGTTCAGTAGAGCAGTGCACGCAACGTTGATAGCCGCTAAACTCGAAGAGCAGGCGGTATCCACAGAGACACTAGGTCCACTGAATTTGAAGAAGTAGTTAAGACGACCAGGAATAAAGGCGCGATTTCCTCCGGGGATGAAGTAGGTATCGACGTCCTGACCACTGTTGACCTCCCGCCAGTCATCGCTTGTGGTACCGTAGTAGACGCCAACACGATGGCGTTGAGTTGATGCTGTTCGATCGGGCACCAAACCAGCCATTTCAATTGCTTCATATGCCGTCAAGAGGGCAAGTCTTTGCGCTGGATCAGCTTGACTAGCTTCTCGAGGGGAGAAATGGAAGAAGCGTGCATCAAAATGCCCCGGGTTGCGAATCCAACAGCCATGTAAGATACGACTGGTGTTCTTTCTCTGAAGCGTCGGATCATAATGTGCTTGCCCATCAAACCGGTCCGGAGGAATTGGTTTATGAACGTCAAGGCCCTGCTCCAGCACTTTCCAGAATTCGTCCAAATTTTCGGCTTCGGGGAAACGGCCACTGAACCCAATAATTGCGATCTTTGACGAGTCATCGTGACTAGTGGAAGATGTATCTGCTTTGGAGGAAATTTTGTTTATGCAGATCATGGTGACCCCTTTCTGTTGCAAAGCTGATACCATGCTTGACCCAACGTGTGTGTGGATCGGTATCAAGGAACCAGGCTTCCCGGAAGTCCCCCCTGCTATCCCATCAAGCAGTCGGTCCAGCCGTACTTGTTCGGATAGAATCTCTCGGACCAGACTGCGAATAAGAACTCCGAAATTTTGTTTCGTCTGAAACTTTCCTGTTGCACTGGAGATGATTGGGATCTGCTGCACGATGTCGATTGAGAGCTTTCGAGAGATTGAACTTATGACTGCCTCAACGTCATCGGCAACATACAGATGTGGGGCATGATACGGTGCGTATATTGGTAAGAGGTATGTCTTCTTCCCTTCCAAGGTTGGAAAACTCTGCAAAGCCTCAAGAATGTGCGGTGGACCACTGATAGTGACCGAGTGAGAGCTGACAGCACTTAGATAGGGTGTCATTGTGACTGACAGTCTCTACAGACGCATGAATCATGAGCTCATGTACCAATCGGGCGCTGGGGTTTGAACATACCAAGGCTTTCCAAGACGGCTGAATGTCCTTCTCAAACTCTGTCAAAGTGACTCCGGCTATTGTCATAGCCCATGGTTTATTCGAAGAGGCCAAGACTTTGGCTTTGCGAGATGCATGCATCCCAACCCAAAAGGCCACAACCACCGACTCAATGCCTAGTCGAGCCAAGTCAATGACCGATTGAGAGCAGCTGATAGCGGCGGCTGCGAGAGATCCAGTGCACAGTCCAGTTAAGACGCGGCTCTCATGGTCGGTGCTTTGAGAGTCTTCCCGAGGTCCAGCGAGTTGGAGGCTGTGACAATATGAGCCAGGTTTCGCATCACTGTTATGAGATCACTCACCTGATATACTCTCCAATTTCATAGAGACACAGTAGCGCACTGTCCCATGCAGGATGTCGCTTCCCTTTCCTAGAAGCATCGAGAAGAAGCGCAAGGGTCTCAGGTTGAGGAATCGACCCCCTTTCGATCGCTGGAAGACGAGATATCTCGTTTCTTACGGCCTGGTAACTGTCTGATAGAAACCCAGACAGCGTGGTATTGGGACAGGAATACAGTAACTCTTGCAAGCTAGAGTCCACACGGACCGTTTGGTCACCGAAGACAAAGATTTGCGCCATCATGCGCTTCGAATATGTTGAATTGATGGCCGAACACAGGTGTAGCGCTACTTGCGGGTGTTTTAAAGCTCGCTACTACATATTGAGGTATCGTAAGCATACGGAAGAAATCGGTAAGCAAAGGGAAACGTCGTGACCGGTAGGCAATCTATGGAAGTCATCCCCGAAATGTCCGATAAGCCCGGGATGTCCGAGTATTCCATATGCATTTAATCCCAGAATCTCCATACGAGAGTATACGTGCCTCTTTCTGCGATCTCATCCCAATTGTCATCAATTATTTGACTACATAGTAGCCGACACCAATGGCTCTCTGCCTCACTATCTGCGGCTATAAGAAGCCTGGACTGAGCGAGGAGGAATACCGTAATTATATGATCAATATCCATGGACCTCTTGTTCGGGATTTGATGGAACAATATGGTCTCAGGAGATGGACTATGGTAGGCGTCATCGCGCTTGTAATTTTTCGTTCTCCCCACTGGTGCAATTTCTGATGATTGGGGCGATAGACTCATAATCTTAACTCGACTCGTGATCAAATGAGCCGGTTGTTTGATCCTCAATTCGCAAATGTGGCAGATTATGATGCTTTTATTCAGATATTCTTTGACGATGTTGAAGATTTTGTTCGCATGAAGGCCGATCCCTACTTTCAATCAAAGGTAACACCCGATCACGAGAACTTTGCAGATACAAAACGGAGCCGGTGTGTCCCGAAAGACAGTCAATTGTTTTTTATATATGCTAATTCGCCTTTAGAATGACAATTGGAATCGTCCATAATCTCTTAGTGGATGGCAAAGTGATCAATGACAAAAGCAGACAAGTGCTTGCGGAGATCGAAAATGTTCAACCCGTGGGCGAGATGAAATACTAGTTTCCACACCCCAGGCAGTCTAAATTCAGTCGTACTCAGTGAATGAACGCTATTTGCTTTAAGTTAAGCCAATGGCTTGACCTGTGCAGTATTAAATGCCCTATGAGGGGCCTTATAACCCGCATTTTCATTAAATTTCTGAAGGGTTTGACCGTCAAAGGCACACAGACAAGAAACAAATATATCATAAGGGATACTTTATGCCTGAATTTGAGTAAGGGCCAAATCACAAGACATCCAAATATAGTGGTACTATGTAGCGTAAGCCCATACCGATTGCCTTTGCATTCGTCTTTCAGTGCTCATTCTCATATTCACAATCAATATGTTCATGTACCTGAAGGTCATTGTTCGATGAAGGAGAGGTCTCTGCGCTGCCGTTTCCAACAGGAATTCCTCCGCCAACCCAGCTCTGAACCACGCCCGAAGTTCAACACGACAGGTCTCTGTGGCAATGAAGAACAAAATTTATGCTCAGGTCACTTTAAAGCTAGTCCAATGAGGGATAAGACACTTCCTGAAGGCTGGATTACCTGATCCATCCTGAGCCCCCGAGGAACCTTGCTAATGATGTCTTCCCAGTCCTCGAGATGTCTCTCTTGACTGTTGAATACTTGCATCATCGTTAAATCCCGCACACGCAACAATCTCTCCTTCGATACCGGAATGCTACCCGGATCAGGTAGCACTGTATCCATGATGATAATTCTCGAACCAGGCTTGAGAGCCTCGGCCAGATGCTTCAAAATGCGCACAGAATCAGCAGATGCCCAATCGTGCAGAATCATTCTCAAAAGATATACATCTGCGTCTTGGACAGGCTGAGGGTCGAAGAAGCTGTGCGCTTTGTAAGACACACGGCCTTCCAAAGCTTGCCGATCATCTTGTGAAGCGAGATACTTTGGGCCCCCTTCCACAACCTCGGGTAAGTCTTCAACAATGAAGGTAAGCTCAGGGTATCGCCGAGCTAGAGCAATTGAGGCATGTCCAGTCGAACCCCCGACCTTTGAACATCAGCACACAGAACAAAATATCCTCAGAATATATACTTACATCAACCACCAGGGCATTTCCCAAGCCCGCCCAGTCCCATCCGTCGACTAGTTGCTTTAGACCAGTTCCTTGGCTCTCTGTTACGGCACGCATATATCCTGCAAATTGACGGTGGCGCTCGGGCTGCTGACCGAGGTGTTTGAAGAATGATACATCGGTGTCAAATGCAGCATTATAGGCAGTATGAGTGGTGTCCAAAAAGCCCTGCCACTTCTCGTGCACGTCCACCATTGCTAGAGCAGTTGGGGCGGAAATATCACTGTTGAAGATAGCCCAGTCATGGAAGGCTGAATTCCTTTGCAATAACGCAGAGGTCGTGGAGTGGGCAAGATGCTGTTCAGGCTTCTCAATGAAAAGCCCATCGGTTATTGCCATACGAGCAATGCTCTTGAGTGCGCTTTCAGGGACCTTGGCAAGGACAGCCAGGTCGGAGTAGGATATAGACCCCTGGATAGGAACAAGATGAAATATCTTGAAATGGCAAAGCCATCGTAGACAAGAGATATAATGATACTAAAGCATTTCAGTTTCAGTATATATAGTGAAGCTAGGGGGTACTTGAGACATACACCAGTTTGAAGGTTGGCCAAATATTCACTTGGCCCAGCCGTAAGCCGGAACAGTCGCAGACAGTGGTCAAGAATGCGCTCCCGTGCCTCATGAGCATGGGATGGGGCATTGCCAGGAAGAACAACTGTCGGGCTATGGAGATCGAATGATGGTGCTGGCTGGCCGACAGAGTCCAAATAATTGGTCAGAGTCTCGACATCCTTTTCCAAGTTTTGGGCGAGACTCCTCACGATAGCCGGTGAGTTGAACGAAGTCATGTTGGATCAAGAAATGGGATGAGTGACGCTTGAATGTGTGTTAATACCCAGTGTGTAGTGAGGACTTGGCGATAAACCACTCCAAGAGGATTTGATAAGACAATATAGCATGATCAAGAGTACACTCAGCTCTATCTGCATTCGGGCCCATCGGGATTGATCGGAATCCGAGATATGCCGTATTACAATTGTGCAAAAGCAAATTGAATGGACTTTCGAAAAATAATAATCAAATTGCACTGAACTACCTAGCTACACATATGGACGAGTGGAATCAAACTTTGTAGCATGACACAGTCTTCCACGCCTCTTCCAACGCTGCTTTGGGATCACCATCTACCTCTGCCAATTTCCACGCAATGTGGCCGTCTGGACGAACGAGAGAGCATCCACGCTGAGAAACTCCAAAAGCATCACTGAATCTGATACTTACATCCTCGCTCTGTCGGACATGGATAAATTGTGCTTGCACTCCCAGATTTGCTTGAACTTGTTTCACAATGCCTGCCCACTCGGGGTCTTCAGATAGTACCACCCAGTCGCCGCTATGTAGTTGAAGAGTTGAAAGACTCTCTTCGCCTAGTTCGATCCAGCAATGGGGGAGGCGAGTACCAGGCTGGCCCTTCCACAAGTCTGGAGTTAAAGCTTCCGGGAGCGATTCGTCCGCTCCGATAACTCCACTCGACCGGTAGATCTGACCAAACTCGACAGCCGCATCTGGAAGGGCGCTCTGTCCAAGAGCAGAGCTCCCGCTAGTAGATGCTTCCCGCTGAAGCGTTTTATAGTCCGACCGAGCAAAGATTTGGTCGTGTCGTAGCCATGCCACGGGGAGCCGCTCAGCCTGGTAAGACGACAGAAGCCTGTCATCCGATACACCTTGTAGGACTTGGGCGAGCTTCCACGCGAGGTTGTGTCCGTCTGCAATTCCAGTGTTTGCTCCGTAGCCCCCACGGTTGGGAGGGAGCGAGTGGGCTGCATCCCCGACAAGGAAAACCCTTCCTCTAGAGAATTCATCGGCTATCCAAGCGCTCATATCCCATCTGCTAGTGGCGAGCACCTCAAGAGTGACCTTTTCTGGGCCAATCGACTGAAAAATAGCCTTTCGTATCAATTCATCGTTCCAAACACGATCGTTGGGCAGATGAAGAACCAATCTTTCATCCTGGTAGGCGATCATGAAGGCCTTCAAGTCTGGTTGATCAATGGTGAACTGCTTGAATCCTTTCTTAAGATAAGGTGACAATTCTGGGGCCCGGAAGAGAACACTCTGTACGGAATTCACTGGACCATGACCTTTTCGTGGAATTGCCAGAGTTTCGCGGATAGCGCTGCGATGGCCGTCGGCAGCGACCAGATACGGGGATTTGATAAAATAGACAGCGCCATCCTTGCTGTTCTTGATTGTAACAGTCACACCTTTGTCGTTTTGCGCGAGACCAACAAATTCATGACCCATGCGAACATCCACTCCCAGGTCAATAACACGCTGCATGAGGATAGGTTCGAGTTGGTCTTGCGGCGTAGATGAGCCCTGATATGGTGACCATTCCGGCTGCTTGGGAATTGCAGTATCTTCCTTTTTTTCCTGATCGTTCCATGCGAGTTCTTCAAACCACTGACCAGTCAGGCTCATGACGCGTGTGCGCTGAGTCTTGAACGAGGGCGCAGTCTCGGGAAGAATATCGGGGCCAATACCGAAGGACCGAAAGATCTCGACAGTCCTCGCAGTAAATCCATCTGCACGGGGATGCTGCGAAGACTCGGGTCTTCGCTCGATAAGAACTGTCTGGATACCATAGCTTCCCAAGGCCAGGGCTGTCGTTAGACCAGCCAGACCTGCTCCAACAATGACAACGGGAGCATCTCCAGTGTAGGAACCCATGTTGATGTTTATCGAAACGATAGAATGAATTTAGTCGAAATTGGTGCAGTCCCCTTCGTTTCAGGGTTTAGAGCTTCGTTGCAGCACTTAAGTCGCGTCTTTCCGGGGACTTCGGCGTTGCGCAGCGATCAGGTGAGGCTCACCCCGATGTACTCCGAGTTCCCCTTGGGGTCCATTTTGCTGCCTCAAAAACTGATTTTGACGCTTTTGTCTGCGTAACAAACCTCAGCTTCCAACAGTGGAGAATTCAAAGGTCTTCTAACAATAATGTCTCCGTCCGTGACTCCTGAGCGTTATCCAGTCGCGATCGTTGGGGGCGGCATCGCCGGGCTGACACTGGCGTTAGCACTGGAAAAGCTGGGTGTTCGCTATGTTCTCTTTGAGTCCCAAAGCTCCCTGGCTCCTGATAGGGGTGCAAGCGTTGGTTTACAGCCAAATGGCTTACGTATTCTTGATCAGCTAGGTCTGATCGACAAGATTGAGCAACATACCGGGACGTTGCAGCGCTGGCGCCATCTAGATGGCCAAGGCGAGCTCATCTCAGAAACCAAAGCTCTAGGCTATTACCAATCATTGTGAGTTTTTTCCTTTTGTTACAAACTTTTTGGAGGCTCAAAATAGACTCGCTGACTTGGTAGAATTGGTTACGGTCCTCTGTTCCTGGAACGTCGCAAGCTCCTCGAGATAATGGCAGATGAGCTCCAAGACAAAACGGCCGCCAAGACAAGCCTGCGTGTTGTGTCGGCCAACGAAAGTTCAGACGGGGTTGAACTAGCACTAAGTGATGGCCATTCAATCACAGCCGATCTCGTAATTGGGGCAGATGGTGTGCGTAGCTGCATCCGTGAAGCTATTGATATGAGCAGGACAGAGTGGCATTCTGAAGCGAATGAGTGTAAGTACTTGGTTTGATGCTTATTCCATAACATGGGGCAGGAGCTAATGTTGAGCAGATATAAACACCCAGTTCGCTTGCATCTATGGTATCTCGGGTGCCATCCAAGGCATTGTTGAAGGTGACTGTTTTTCGGTATACCGCCCTGAGGCAACGGTCCTGATCTTTACCGGCCGCAACGGCACTATATTTTGGTTTGTTTTCGAAGATTTGGGTCAGACATATGGCCTATCAACAACACCAAGATATACAAATGACGACATCGACGCGCTTTGTGACTCAATCGCCCATCTCCGCCTCACTGCTTCAGTCCGTTTTGGTGATGTGTATGGAAATAGATCAGTGGCGATGAAAGTACCTTTGGAGGAAGGCTTGGCGCCCTCGTGGCATACGGACCGCATGGTGATTGTTGGGGACGCTGCCCACAAGGTAAAGGAACTTTTATTGGCTAGTCCAAAGCGCACAGATGCTGACTACCTGAACAGATGGTTCCAAATGCCGCGATGGGAGCAAATCAGGCAATTGAGTCATCCGCAACTCTACTGAACGAGCTGGGAAATATATTCACTACGAAAGATGGCGGCTCTCCACAGCCGGAACTACTTGCGAATGCCCTGAAGAGATACGAAGATATTCGCAAGTTCCGAGCCAGTGAGATTGTTCAAAGAGCAGGAACAATTTGCAGAGCTCAGCTTTCGCACAGTGGTCCCGCAGCAGCTGTACGACAAGAACTTCCATCTTTGACCGATGGTGATTGGCTCGTCCGCGGTTTCATGGGCTTATCAGAATCGCCTGTCATTGATGGCCTGCCTGTGCCACCAAGGGGAAAGTTCTTCGGCCAAGCCGTGGAGAAATTCTGGAAACGTTTCCGAGCCCGACAAGCTTCGGGCTTCAAGACTTCCAACTTGGAGTTGTTCGAAATTGAAGCATAGGCAGTCTAAAGTGTAGATCAGACATTATATAACTTTCTATCTTGGCAAATACAGACTCACATCTTTCATACACGACTCTCATGCCTGTCACAGAGGGATACTTGATTTCAACTTCCTTTGTCATCCTTAATAAGTTTTCAACTCTGCCCTGTCTGTATGCATACCTTCTGCCGCTGGGAGTTATCCTAGTGCAAGAAACAAATCATCTTCCAAAAGCTTCTATTCCAATGATATATGTATCTCCGTCTTGTAGGTGAGGTTTCTAGAAAGAAACAGGTACCAGCTTGATACGATAACTAACAACAGGTGAGGTGAGTTGGTTTCCTTTTCAACGAAAGGATTCTAAAAAAAGCTTTCTTTTATCAATCGTCCATTTGGTGAAAACGAAGCGAGCATGAAGTCCTTGACTACGCTCAAGCTATTTCAAGTACCTCAATTCCAGTGCAAATGCTCTCCATGCTTTCCTTAGAATTACTTTCAATTGCTGGATTTAACTCGTCTTACATTCCCCTCTAGGTAAGATTATTCAAGATGATCAATAGCTGTGTTTTATTTCCTGACTAGCTTGGATAATTGTGCGGTCTACTTATCAACAGCCATGCCCTTCAGCACTGTGGGACTATTCATGATCTTCGTCCAATCATGCATCTTCTCACTGTTCTCCTCACTCAATCGAACTTCCACCCCTGTCCGAGCAATCATCTCATCTTCATAACGCTGAATAGCCTCTGCACGCTGCTCGATGGTAAAATCACCCTTATTCCAGAAAGATTCGATTGCCTTGCACGCGGTGTACGCATCCTGGATAGCATGGTTGAGGCCCTGACCACGCTGGAATGTCATCGGATGAGCAGCATCGCCCGCCAACGTGATTCGACCCTGGCGGTTGTCCCACTTGTGGTTGGGCAGACTGGGGTCCCAGTTGCGAAGCTTCGAATACCATACCTCGCTATCTTCGGGCATCCATTCGAAGACACTGCGCCAAGGGTCCACAAAATTACGCGCAAGCTGTTTCTGGTGGGCAACATGCTCGCGCATTGTACGGTTGTTGACCTCATCACGTTTCTCGGGGAACGAGATGTAGTGGAAAAAGGTCCAGTTCTCCGGGTGTTCAACGTCGTCTCCGTCATGCAGACTCAACCAAGCACAATATCCATCGGGATGGGGTCCAACCTGGTATAGAGGATGATGCGGCTGAGCCCGGAGGAATAGTGCGTGCTCGCGGGTGTGCTTGGTGAAGCACATGGTCGATGCGAAATCGATTGCTGTCACCTTTGCATTCTCTTCACCAACAAGCAAAGAGCGAACTGCCGAATGGGGACCATCGGTCGCAATAACCATGCTGCCAATGACCTCGGAGCCATCGCCGAACTTGGCAATCACTCGTTCGCCAGCAGGAGAGTATTCGAGATCGACGAGATCCTTTCCCCACTGCACGTCCAAGCCTTGCAGCAACATCGCCCGGAACTTGTCGCGACGGAAGCGGTAAAACTTGGATGATTTGATTTCGGTAATCAGCTCGCCAGTTTGACCATTGATCAGAGGAAGCCGATCACTGTCTTTGGTTGCCACATGTGGATCAACTTGGGCGTCTTTCACTTGAGATAGAACGTCGGCTGGCACGAGGTACTCAAGGGGCTCGAAGCCCCAGTGCAATCCCATACTCCAGTTGCGCTTGCGAATTGGACTCTCGTCCTTCTCGAAAATCAGGAATGGGATACCGGCCTAAGTATCACTTTTAGCTACTTACGACCCTGTCCAAACTACCTGCCTGGGCTCATACCTTCTTCAATCCATGAGCCAACGCCAGGCCAGTAGAGCCTGCAAAGTGATTGTGAGCAAGCTCATTTTCGAAGCTTCGAAGAGATATAGTCACCTACCGGCACCAATGATCAACACTTTTCTACGACCCTGAATAGCAGCCGGGGATGGCTTCCCCGAACCATTGGCCGTAACGATTGCGTTGCCCGTTTCCATGATGTGTGAAGCACTTAATTGCTAGATTCTTGTGAGCTATCTGACTGACAGAAAGCGTCAATATGAACATCTTATGGCTTGCTTGAAGGCCTCGGCCGTCATCTTATGCGGCAACTCCGGAGACCGAGTGGCCCCGTCCCGGCCCGACTGGGAAGACAAGGACAAGGATGGATGCTTTGATTTAGGCCTAGAAATCGTTCGAAGCTTTCCAAGCCCTAGCTATGTGCCATAATCCAATGACCATTTAAATGATGCTTGTGCTGTTTCCCCAACCTGTACATTACTCATACAGGTACTTGATTTCATGCCAGTTGGGAAAACAACACTGATTCCAGACCCGAATATCGCGTATTGTACATATATAAAGAAAGCCGGCCGTCTCATATTTATTTACAGGCTGACCCCTTCAATCCTGGTCTTTCCTATCTTTTGCGGGACCTCCCTTGCGACCTTTTGGTTCGTCCAACTCAGATAACTCTGCCATGCCACAGCAACACATCCCGAAAACACACTTCGGAATTGAGGTGGTATGTACATAAAGCTAACGATAGCCACGCCAGACCACACCTTCCAACCATTGACAATGCTTATGGGAAGTGCGAGTTGCAAACGCATGAGAGTTTGCTCAACCGACGCGCCTGACAGTAGTGACTGCATGGTAAAGAAGTAGGTGTTGAAGACTGGTGTATAGACTGCCTGTTGCACGAGCACTTTGGTGGCAAGTGACAAAGCACCAGAAGCAAAATTAAATCGGCGATGTAAAAACATAAACCTGTGATAGTTAGCACATCATCAATACTTTGTGGATCGCGTCGTTCTACGCATACCATTCATAGGAAGGAATGCTGGCCACTATCCCGATAATCAGATGCCGTGCTGTCCGCCAAGGGTCATATCCCTGTGTCTGTTGAAGTTTTTGAGAGTCTTCATTCTCTTCCTTGTCGCCTGGCTCGGGTGGAAACAGCAGCTGGGCACTCAAGTCACCACAGAGCCAAATGAGCACTGATGTGCATATTTGTGTAGTATATGGTCGTTGAGTTTGAGTTCTGGAATATGCTTGTAGAAGAGGTCCAATACCACTACGTGCCAGGAGTCTACTAGCCACACCCGAGGGCGGCGCTGAACTTGCCTGACGCCTAGATGAACATGAATTTGACCATCGCCAAGATCGTGACTTGAGATGGCTTCGGTTTGCGAGGGCTTGTGAAGAGATTTCTCGCTTCAAGGAAGACGAGTAATAGGTCAGGGATGAGTTCGGTAATCTGAACATCTTTGTGGCATCGAGGCATGCTGGTAGTACCTAGGTTGTGTTTAACTGACAATAAACATCTTTTCGGAGCTCGGGCAACCCTGGGCAATCACTCGGGACTCATACAAGTTCCAGCCAATCGGCCGCCTCGGGTCCTGCCAGGGCCCGCAGCCGGCCCCCGCATAAGCTTATCCGTCTCAAGGGAGATTTGCAAATATCCCGAAAGCTGGCAGTTCCAACACTGAAGAAGAATACGGTAAATGATTTGCCATATTCGGTGGATTTAAGATGACGGACATAGCCGTAGATTCGAAATGGTCTATTCATTGCACAATGTACTGCGAAATCAGTGAAGGGGTCGCTTCCTAAAATAAACCCGCTGGTCCTCCTAGGCTGGCCAAATTTGCATTGTATTTTCGAAAGGAGTGAGATTGTAGAAACTCCTTAGAAACGATAATAGAGCCGAATCTGTTATATTTAATAGCTTCACTTCAGAGACTTTAATGGAGATGTTAGCAATTTCGACCACTTTCTGTTTCCTACATGTATATTTTACCGTACCACGGCAGGATATTTTCAATACACCGGACTCCAGGCCCCCAGCCTTACTTGACAATCGTAATGATCTGCCTGCTGACTTCTTTGTTTTATCTCTTTACAACCCCCCGACCAATAGTTGACAAAGCTCAGTAATTGTGCGAATCGACCATTCAAATGGACTCCCAATTTCAGGATCTCTCGCCCGAAGCCCAAAAATCTCCAGCCCGCGACGCTACCAGCAAGACGTCCGAAGGGTCATCGGGCCCCTCGCTGACAAGACCCCACCAGCATATCCGCAGCTGTCTATTTTGTCGATCTCGCAAAATAAAATGTGATCGCCAAAAGCCATGCGCCAACTGCGTGCGGACGGGGACGGAATGTGTCTATCCATTAGGGCCGGGCAGAGCCCCGAAGCGACCGCGGCGACCACTAGACAAGCGTGTGCTTGACCGGTTGGCGGATCTAGAGGCGCTCGTGAGGCGCTTGGATGCTTCTGACGCTGGTAGCCAGCTAGCACACGGCTCACTACCGAAGGCCCCGACCGCAGCCTCGACACCAGAACCGGAAGATGGATCGAGTCAGATAGAACAGCAGTTTGGTCGGCTCGTGATCGACAACACTCGAAGTTGTTATGTGAGCAACATTTTATGGGCAAATTTAGGTGACGAGGTGGGTTTGCAAGTTTGCTGCCATATGCAAATGTCACTGTTCGCATTCGTCTGACATTTTGAAAGATTGAAGAGCTCCGCGATTTGTTATACGAGGAGGCATCAGAAGATGAAGACTTCGATGCGGCCAGCATTTCGTCTGTTGCCGACACCACGACATCACTTGGCTCCAACGCGGCGATAATGGGGTTTCAAGCCCTAGCGCAGTCCTTACGGGCGTATCATCCGCCACTTTCCCAGTCAGTGGCACTTTTTGAGATATTCAAACATAGTGTCGCCCCTTTGGTGCACATTTTCCATATGCCGACCCTGGTCGCGTCTTATTGGGATGCCGTGGCATCACCTGAATCACTGGACCGCAACACCGAAGCATTACTGTTCGCCATCTACTACTCCACCGTGATCAGTATGGAACCACAACAATGTAAGGAGGTCTTGGGCTTTTCGCGAGCCACGGCGGTCAAACACTATCAATTCGCAGTCGAACAGGCCATGGCTCGCGCCAATCTCCTCAATACCCAGAGTGTGGTTTTGATCCAAGCGGTGGTTCTCTTTCTGTCAGCGCTGCGCAATGAGGATGCCTCACGTACTGCCTGGTCTATGACCGCACTGATCTTCCACATCGCCCAGGCCATGGGTCTGCACAGAGACGGGGCTTCCTTTGGCCTTCGGCCGATGGAGACGGAGATACGGCGACGTCTTTGGTGGCATATATGCTTGTTAGATATCCGGTCGTCTGAATATCACGGCTGCGAGCCCATCGTGCATGAGTCAATGTTCGATACTCGGATGCCACTGAATATCAACGACAGTGATCTGACCCCCGACATGACTGCACCACCTACGGAGCGGGAAGGATCTACTGAGATGACCTTTTGCCTCATTCGATGTGAGGTCATGCGGATTGTGTGGAAGACAGGGTATGTACCACCCGGTATGCGACGACCGGGTAAACCAGTAGAGGGGGCGTCTTTACCAGAGCGCGCTGCTTTGGCCAAAGATCTCCAGCAACGGTTAGAGGAACGCTATCTGAAACACTGTGATACCACAAGCCCATTTTTCCAGGTTTGTGTGACTGTCGCGCGCCTGATCATTGCGCGAACGTGGCTAGTGGTCTATTATCCCCTTCGACAGAAAGATGATGGGCCGACCTTGCCGAGCCCGATTCGAGATCAACTGTTCACCATCTCAATCAAGGTTCTCGAGCTTTCATATGAATTGCTCACCAGTCCCGCTCTCGCACAATGGACATGGCACTCCAAGACGCACGTTCAATGGCATGCAGTGGCCTTTGTCCTGTCAGAAATATGCTCGCGTCCCCCATCGCAGGACTGCGATCGTGCTTGGGACTATGCCCAAACTGTCTATAATCGATGGAAAATGAAAGAGCACAAAGGCAACCTCTGGCGGCCCATTAAGCGACTAATGGCCAAGGCACAATACGTACGCGAGATCCAAAAAAACAAGAATGCCCCTGCAAAACCACACTGGCGTATCGCTGGCCAGAATTCAGTGATGCCAAATAACTGCTCTCCGGACGCTCCTACGAGTAGTAGCTCGGGCATGAGGGGTCCTGTGAGCACTGAGAGTATCGGTGGTACCACCGGGGGCCTCATCGATATTAATTGGGCCATGTCGACGGAGTCCCTTGAACCATTTTTAGACAACTGGAACAAGGCTGATTTGCCGGATCCGGGTGTCGAATATGCATACCCTATTTGCGCGGACTATAACATGGTGAATTTTGATGGGAGCCCGATAGATATGACATTTGGCATGACTGGGTTGATACCATGAAAGCAATGGTTTACGAATTGGTCGAGTCTCGGTAACTGGTTAAGGTGAAATTTAAATCACTTGTCACAAAATTACTGTTCCCATTGTACCTCAATGCTCAGAAGATTCTCCTCAGGATATACTATCACTGCCATTTATCCACATGCTATGCCTCTGAGACTGTCGCTCTAAAGCTTGAGCGTGTATACAGCGAAGCTAACGCGTTCGCATGAGCATAGCCGACTAGTCCACATCTTAAGAACAGTAAGGCGCTGTGCTCTAATTCCGATTTTATTATGAAACGTCATTAAATAAACATAGAAACAGGTAACCGTATGTTCTGACCAGGCCCAGGTCTCAAATCTGGCCAGCTATATAAATCAATTCAGAAATCCTGCTCTATGAATTCAACGTGGTCTAGATAATTCAAACAGCGTACCAGTCAATCTTCAAAATCTCGAGATCATTCTACAGACTCAGACTTCATGCAAAAGTTGTTACATTTCCCGTTGCTTGAATTTAGACATCAAAGGGGTACGATGCCATGCGACTGTGCCCTTTTGGGTACTTTGCCATCCCTCTGACTCTGGCATAACTTCGAAATCAAAATGCCAGAACAACTTGACCAATATCAACCGAGCCTCAGCTGTGGCCAGTCTAAGTAGGTCAGCATTCATGCCTTCGTTCTCAAAGATGATCATAGACTCACTTGATGCCAAGGCATGTCCGAGGCCCGCAGCTGAACGGATTGACCACCGCCAGGTTATCGCCAGAAAACTTTGAGCCTTTTTCCCGGGCTTCCGGGAGCCATCTCTCAGGGCAAAAGTCATCCGGACGGTGGAAGTTGGATGGCGAGTGATAGGCGGCATGTTGATGAACGCCGACTGTCGTGCCCTCTGGGACATATTTCCCATCGATTATCTCGCCACCGGGTGGGACAAATCGGCCAGTTGATGAAGGCGAGGGGCAGTGAATACGCAAAGACTCCTGCATGACCGCAGCCAGGTATGGCAATTGTGTTACACGATCTGAGGTAATCTCAGCGTCCGACGCAAACTCCTTACGAATCTCATCTGCGAGCTTCTGATAGGCATCGCGATTAGTGGCCAGAGAATGCATAGATGTTGACAACCATGTTGCAGTTGTACCAGTGCCTGCACCGATAATCGTTGCAGCGTTGAGGCTCATTTCTATCGGAGTCATTCCGTTCTTCTCGCTGATCATGTAGCTAAGGATGTCACGTCGGTCGGTTTTGGATTCCAAGCGCTTCTCGAACTTAGCCGCAATGATCTTGAAATTCTCGAATGCCGCTTGGAGGCGGTATTTCGGAAGCAGATATTGCCGCCATCGGACTAGATTGTATGTCTCCACGGCTTGGGTCCTGCTTGTGGTCAAAATCCCCCATCATTACCATTACTTAGCGAGATTTAACGTACCAGACTTGAGATTGGATAGCGTGAGTCAGTATCTGCAGCCAACGGCCTCCGTCTTCTTGCTGGAGAGCCCCTTCTGGTTGGCCACACAATAAATCTCCAATGAGGTCCATAGTTGTCTGTAAGGTCGTTAGCCCTCATCCCCAAAGTGTTTTCTCAGAAGAAAAAATGTCTGACCCATTCGAAATATTTGTTCAGGTCTATAGCATCCTGGGAGCAACGCCTTCTTAACTGTTCCACCAACAAGTTGACATATTTTACAATAGTCTCATCATGCCCTTTGATGGATTTCTCTGATAGTGCGGGGGCTAAGATTCGTCGTAGTCGCGAGTGATTCTCCTTGTCCGCACTCAAAATCGCAGAGGCATCCTTTGAAGAACATTAGTTTCCATTTGCTACTTCAACACCAATGCGAAAGATTTACATACTTTCAATCCCGGTCGGCTGAAGCCTGCTTGGCAGTTCTTCTGCATTTCCACCGGGCGTAGGCCATAAATAGTCTTCCAAGCCGTTTCTGTAGTGTATGACAGATGCCCGGGTGCCACCCGGACTACACTTCCATATTTTTTGTGTAGTTCAATGCTTTTCCACACTAGCTGCCCTGTCAGGCGGTAGTAGATCCAGACCAGTTGTGTGGCAGCCCACAATTTCGGCCCTGGGTATTGTCGCAACGGATGCAGATAGATATTGTAAAGCCCGTGGAGCACCAGAGAGCCGAGAATCTAGTCAACAAACATTATACGATCAGATGCGGGTACTCGCTTTCGGATATACAGAGGCGACTCACCACCGACAGCGAAAGCGGGACAATCAGTGGGCTGCCGAGTGCCGAGACGACATCAGTCAAAAAGACCATGATTGCTTATGCGGCTAATTAAGCGAGTTGAAGTAAATGAACATATGGTTGCCGTGTTCGTATGTTATATTCCACCCTTGACATTTTGGGCCCCAGTTCCGGGAGTTACGTATTGCAAATTACGCGCTTCCCAACGCCAAACAGTCGGGCCTCATCGGGCCGAGCGCATAAGCTTGTCCGATGCCCCGAGGACCCGCTTTTGGCGCTCGAACTAGTGATCGATCCAGCGATCCATACTGAGCCTCCTTTGTGGCAAGGCACAAGCCTTGTTGTCTCGGTGAGTTCGTAGGACCGATGGACTTAACGCATAGAGGGCTACCCGACTGGTAGGGTCTTCTTTTGTTCTGGCGGTGTTCGTCCATCTGAGCCCTCAGTCACCTTGTCCGATTGATTCGAACTTATTCCTCGAATCTCTCCGCCTCCGAATTTTACCTTTGCATCACAACATACGTGTCCGACCTTTGATTTTTGCTGCAATGTCAGGCCCTCAGACACACTCGGCAGTGCCTGGGTCCAGGGATAGCACAACCCCAGTGCCAGTGGAAGAACAGAATGATGTGGAAAGGCAGTCGAATTCAGAGACAAAGCGTCTGGAGCATCCGCTTCTCTATGACGCGACGCCGGCTACGGTTTTGGTTGACTTCGAAGGCACGGACGATCCTTACCTGCCGATGAACTGGCCATTCCGGAAAAAGGTCCTCACAACTCTCTTGTATGGATTCACCACCTGCTGGATCACGTTCGCCTCGGCCGTCTATTCTGCGGCACTCGGACAAATCTCAAAGGAATTCGAAGTCAGTACTGAAGTAGCAGCATCCGGTGTCAGTCTCATAGTTTTTGGCTTTGGACTAGGTCCTCTCATTTGGGCTCCTCTCAGCGAGGTATACGGCCGAAAATGGGTGGTTATAGTGGTGCGTCCCTACAATTCTACATCCCAGACATCAAAATTGACTAAAATTTTCCAGCCATACTTTATTGCAGCCATTTTCTCCTTCGGAACAGCAACAGCAAAAGACATCCAAACTGTTCTTATCACTCGGTTCTTCACTGGCCTGTTTGGAAGCGCGCCCGTGACAAACACAGGTGGTGTCATGGCGGACATTTGGCCACCTCAACAGCGTGGCATTGCCATCGTCGGTTATGCTATCACCATTGTCGGCGGACCAACACTTGGACCCATTATTGGAGGTGCCCTTACCTCGAGTTACCTTGGATGGAGATGGACCGAGTACTTGACCGGCATCATTATGATAGCGCAGGTTGTCTTTGATGTTTTGTTCTTGGATGAGAGTTATCCACCAGTGCTACTTGCCTACAAGGCTCGTCGACTCCGCTTTGCAGGGAAGAACTTTGCGTTGCATGCCAAGGTAAGCATATATCCATACCAGATATTTTGATTGTGTCCTAACGTTGTACAGCAAGAAGAATGGGATCTTTCGATTAAGGAGCTTTCGCAGAAGTACCTCGTTCGCCCCCTCCAAATGCTGGGGACACCCATCTGCCTACTGATGAGTCTCTACGCGTCGTTTGTTTATGGTGAGTTAGCCAGGCTCAACGAGCTGATCTGTCCAGCGCAGCTAATACCTCCTGTTTCATAGGCATCCTATATGCAAACCTCGAGGCCTTCTCTGTTGAATTTCAGGAGATTCGTGGGTGGGGACCTGTCGTGGGCAACCTTCCATTCATCTCGCTCCTCGTCGGAATTTTCTTCGCTGCAGCGGTCAACATCTACAATAACAAGTACTACTTCAAAAAGTTCAAGGCAAATGGCAACAAGGCCGTCCCCGAGGCTCGATTGCCGCCAATGATGGTCGGAGGATTTGCATTCACGGCTGGTCTCTTTGTGTTTGGCTGTAAGTCTAAGTGATACCACGACACTCTCCACAATTTGAAAATGTACTAAACAACAGAAGGGACCTCCTCGCCACATATCAACTACTGGCCTTCAATCATCGGCATTGCTCTGACTGGATTTGGATTCACAACCATTTTCCAGGCAGCCCTCAACTACTTGGTTGACACCTTCACTCGCTTCAGCGCCAGTGCTGTAGCAGCTAACACCTTCCTTCGGTCAATGATGGCAGGTGCATTCCCGCTGTTCGTCTTGCCTATGTATCATAACATTGGCGTCAATTGGGGGACCACGGTATTTGGCTGCTTTGCAGCAATTCTGATCCCGGTGCCATTCCTATTTTTCTTCTGGGGAAGAGACATTCGCGCTCGCGGACAATGGAGCAAACACACAGTGTAGTGTCTCCTTTGACCGCCGAATGTATTATTATAGGGTTCCGTTAGATTCGACGATGCCGAGTAATAGAATGTCTGGAGCAACCACTCTGGCCGTTTGCTATGACGGGTGCTCTGCTGTGCTAATGTTTCTTGCTTCGGCGCATATATGGTCATCTGAGATCGAGCTCGAAAATATTAGATTTGAAACCCTGAAACTAATCTTGATCACCTCTCACCACTACTATCTACTACTATCCACTACTATTCACTAGTAGATCTTTATTATACTATATAGCTATACTATATAGCTATATCCGACAAGTATATACCTATCTACCTTGCTTCCTATTCGCTTATCACCCTGCTTGCTCATAGGTCACTCAACGCAGCCTGGCACAGCCGGCATGTAACGACGATAAGATATCCGAATTGATAAGGACATGACCTGCAAGGGCCAACAGTTGTCTGCAGCACCACATCCTCACATGTACTATCGCTGTGGGTGAAATATGAGAATATTAGCATGAAGTTCGCCCAGATACCTTGGCACGTGTACATACTTACCATATCATCATACGTTGATGCTCTGCTTGCTGGACTCATTCTGATTGGCTGTCCCTCGAATAAAACCATAACGCTTCTCCGGATCCGGTTAGCCTAGGTAAGCAACTTGCATTAGTGCGAAAGCAGAATCCATGGTTCATCTTGGACGGCCAATTAGAGCGTGACTTGGCAACCCTTCCAGGCTTTGGACCCTCAATTCAGCCCCCTGTGAAATTTATAATCCGCTGACAACCCGCGGCCATTGTGATTACCTAGGGTAATCAACTTGCAGAATCAATCGGACCATATCCCCAGCCATGTCATCCGACCCGGCGATCATTCCGCTAGGACAGATGCCGCAACAGGCAGGCATCCGAGCCCAGAAAGATGATTGGACTGGTATCATCGATCGAACGCAGCGAAGGAAACTTCAGAACAGGCTAAATCAGCGAGCATTCCGTATGAAAAAAAAAACCCCCACACTTGCACAGAACAAGTTCAAGATAGTCTGTGACTAACGTGTGACAGGTTTACGACGACAGTTTGAACGACAACAGCACCAGCAAGAGACTGAACCCACAGACTTGGTGATACGAGACTCCTTATACCTCAGCCCAAGCGAGCTTCAAACCGGGTCCAAGCGTACTCAATGCCCGCCCGAAATGCCGGAGCTGATGCTTCGGCTTGAGGCTGAAGCATCCAAAAGTTATAGCGAAAGCTCGCCAAACCTTGACCACCTGCTCTCGCTACCTAAGATCAATGTCCAGCGGGCCATCATCCAAAATATCCATTCAACTGGCATGACAATGGAATGGACAAAGGAAGATGATGCAATCTCTATATTCAATCTACAAGTTCCGGGCTTTTCGGATCTGCATATTCCCCTCGACCTACTGCCAACCGAAGTTCAGAAGCGGGTGCCTCACCATCCGTGGTTGGACTTTTTTCCATCTCCAACATTAAGAGATAACCTCATTGTGCTACAAGATGAAATTGATGATGAAGATTTATGCCATGATCTTATGGCGTTTTGGGATACCCGCAACACGCGTGCAGGATTACTTGTTTGGGGTCCATCATGGCAAACGACTAGCTGGGAAGTAACAGAGTCCTTCTTAACAAAATGGGGATTCCTACTATATGGTTGCACTGCATTGTTGAGGAGTACCAATTTCTGGAGAGTACAAAGAGGCGAGAAGCCCTTGATCTGGAAGGAGTATTTTACCCCGCAACATCCTTTTCTTCAGGTATTGAAGAGAAGAAGAGAAATACGCCCATGCGAGCCTCAAGTATAATTTTGAGCCAAGCCAGAATGTAAACTCCTATTGGAGGTTTGAGGTTTGAGGTTGACAGAGCTGTTCTGGCATGAGATATATTAGAGGATGGCCAAGCCTCGACCGATGTTGCATCGGCACCGGGGATAAGCCTTATATCCGGAGTATGATGACAAGAAGGGCTCTACATGGGAGGATGGCTACGGGAAGGTGAGTACGAAGAAAGCGGAAGAGAACCTTGCGATTCTGTTCAAATGCCCGTAGTGTCTTTTGGCGCGTTCGAGGGTTATTTTGATGGTCTAAAAGAAATAACATCAAATCATTCTGGGTGTGCCATACATCGGTCCATCCTGCACATCCTACTAAGCCATGACCGCCATTACCCGCAAGATTTGCGATGTTTTGAGGCTTCCTAAACGCTCCAAGGTCTCGTGGAAGAACCAATCAATTGCAGAGTGATCTGTGACATCGGCAGTCTTTGTGAAGCACTGGATGAATCGTCCGTGGAGAGACCGGTAAGTAACGCCTCGAGATTCCATTCAGAGAGGTCGCACACAGTAATCTGGACACCTCGTGCGAGGAGTGTGTGGACTGCGGAAAACTCCATGCCCGAGGCAGCTCCACCAATGGCATGAGTCATTTGCACAATCGAAGAAGTCATGTTGCGATAGAATTGAGAGCGACAGATTAACGGAAGGATTTCACCTAGCAGGGCCGGAATTCTATGCTATTCCAAGCCTGAGAACCCATGCATGGTCCTCTCAGCCACCACCTGTAGGGAGTAAACACTTTGTATCAGTGGAATTCTATTCTAGAAGACCCCACGTGCTCTCCATATGAATTCCTCAAATGCCGAATGCTAACACATATCGCCCCACTGGTGCCCTATCATGGTTTCTAAGGACAGCTGCCATGAACTAAAATGAGCATCAGATATCATTGTGTTGTCATTGGGTTGGACAGTCTGCTAAGAGCCTGGAAATTGCATGCCGGGAGGGAGGTAAGGATTCATAATGCCATCCTGGAACAGTTTCCTTTCGTGTCAGGATGAGGTAGCTGAAGGAATTGTCCACTTGATATCCTCCCCTTGAACCTCTAGCCAGGGCAGGCAAGCATTGTATAGAGCTGCAATTTCACCATCACCAAGATCCATGAATTTCTCAAACAATTCTTTATCGAAACGCTCAATGAATGCCAAATGGCAAGCAAAAAACAAGTCCGCGTATCCGGGCTTGGTTCCCTCAAAGAACGGGCCCTTTTTCCCTTCCATGCCCTTGAGCATACGGATCAACGCGGCTGATTCAGTCTCCACCAATTTCCACAACTTGTCAATTGTGTCCTTGTCCGTCGGTCGAATCTCCGACAGCGGTTTTCCAAAAGCAGCAGAACGCGTTTCATGAAAGTACTTCTGCCCCCGAGAGTCGAGATGCTCCGCAACTCTTGGTACGACGGATGGCCGAAATCCAGGTTCCAGGAGACTCACGATCTTACCTACAGCTACAAACAATGCGTAGCTGGCGTGGCCGGATGGGAACAGTGGCGGAGACGGGAAATCCCGATCGAGATGAAGCGCAATTTGGAGCGAATCCATCATCGCTCCACTTGGGTTCGAATTGGTTGAGGACTTATGAATTATTGCCGGTAGTGTGAAAGGTCTACCCTCCTTATTAGGTGGCAGGCCCAGGCTGATCGCGAGGGGCTTGATGTCTGGGTATGAGATCCAGCTCTGCGTGTAGGGAATGGATTTGAAATTCAAGACAGCTCTAATCTTCAACGTGTTGTATGACCATGACTTGGAGGAGCCTAGGATATAGCGCGTCAGCTCGAGGAGTGCGATCGGGGGACGATGTTGATGTGGGGAGATTGCGGACCTGGGAGATCGGAGAACAGGTCGAAGAAGTGAATAGGCTTGAGATCCGTCATTTGGGGTGATGCCTGGTGTTGACGGGTAAAACAGGAAGGTGATGCTCGTCCAGGGATATCGTTCAGATCAAACGCTAAACAGACCTTCGATATGCGTGATTGCTAAGCCTGCGTAACAGCGGGGGAAAGTGGGGTAAGGCTGGGCTACTACTCAGGTAAGAAAGGAGAAAGAGCATGATTGAAGTGGAAAAAGGATTCGACCTTGACTATTTTGAAGCTTTTCTTACCTTTAGATGAGACACTCATGGCTTCTACCTACCAAAAATATTAGACTTCGACTACTTTGGACTAATCACAATCATTAACCTGCAGGACATACCGCGAAAGGTTCTCCCCTAACACAATACTGTATATGGAATTGGAAATATAGCATAGGCCTACTTATCGACTAATGGTTTTTGGTTATACCTATTGTTTACAATTATTCTCTCTTCTCGCAATCTACACCTTCTTCCTGCCTGTGCTATCAGTAAGCGTCGAAAGTGCATCATTTATAGATGTGTTTTCAAGTGGAGCAGTTCCACTGGCACTTCAACAAGCTTGTCGCGCACGTAATCGGCAAACCCTTTCCCAAACCCATCCAGTCGACTAGAACTACTTACCCCTCTCCCCAAAATACCGTAGATGACAAAATGCACAGCGTGGATATTTGGAAATTCTACTCGCTCAATCAAGAAAGAGTCATCCCAATCATCGTCAGCAGTAAGCATCTCTCTCATTCGTTCACGGCTCATATATGACCGCAACCATGGCCAGTGTTGTGGGTTTGGAACAAAGAGGCCAAAGTTGAGATTTGCACCTTTGTCACCAGATCTACCTTGCGCAATGTCACCCAGGCGGATACGCTCGCTGGGGGCTCTAAGCAGAGCTATCTCGCCTGGTGATGGCGTGTGATCATAGCTAGCCCGGGGAGCAAGCGGTTCATAATTTGATGGATGGCCGGTGTGATGTGAGACAATGCTCTCGGGATCTTCAACAAAGTTGATCTGCTCATAAATCTCATTTTGGCTGACGATTGCTGGGTAATATGCTAAGAATGGGCGTGGCATGGCACAGCGTTGATCCAGCGAAGAATGGAGGCCTGTGTTTGAATTGATTAGATTCGCCTTATCATCGTTTGTTTGGACAAATCCTTACCAGAGAAGTGTTTGAGTGAGATTTCCTTCATCGCCATCACAACCGACAAAACAGCCTGCGCTGATACCGCAGCAATGAAGACTCGCAAGTATGTGGTGCTGTTACGTTGTGAGGCCGGGTTGACAGCTGGAACACCGATACTGAATGGCACATCAGATGTCTGCAGATCGCTAACATCTTTGGTTCATCTACTCACCGCTGGAACTCAAGACTGTCAACCTTTTGCAACGCTTCAGATGGTACGAAGTGGCGGATTTGCTTTTCGACCAAGTCCCACTTTGCATTTGTTCCATACCCTGTGGCGTTGAGAAGCAGCTGTGCCTCAAAGCCTCCAGGATAAAAGATAGCCAACTTCGTTGTTGGCGGAGGAGCGTAGCCTCTTATTCCGAGAACGCGAACCCTGAGTTGATGAGCGACTATATTGATAGAGTAGAATGTGGAATACCGAAATACCTATCATGACCTGCCTGTTGAATAACAATATTGTCCAATATGGCGCTGACATCGCTATTGAGATAGACGTTCCCCTGAAGTTCGTACAAAAACTGGCTTCTAACTGTATCAACATCGACCATTCCATCGGTATTGGAATGCTTGGTAATGATACATGAACCGTCTGATTCTATCTCAGCAATGGGAAATCCGGGCTTTACGAATCTCTCAATGGGATAGCGATCAAACCCGGAGAAGTTACCACCAGTAACATAAGCAGAGCATTCGATTAAATGCCCAGCTGCCAGTGCTCCCGCTAGGTGGTTGTAGTCTGTTTCATTCCACGAGTGCCAGTACCAAGCAGCTGCAATGACTGGGCTGGCATCAGCGACGCGACCGCATATGATGATATCAGCACCGCGTCTCAAGCCATCGACGATGCCTCGCGCCCCCAGATACGCGTGGGCAGATACCATAGGTACAGGGTCAGCGCTATTGAGGAAGGCGTATGTGAGGGGCCCGGGGCTTATGGACTGGTTATCTCCATCGAGGTGTCGAAGTTCATATTTCGACTTTGGCATGTTAGGGCCAAACTTTGAATATACGTCGTCGCCAGAAAGGTACGCGACCTTGAGATCAAAGCCCTTTGCCCGTACCTGTGCGTTATCAGTGCTTGTATTGGTTGTTTTGGAATAATCAAATACCCACTCACCAACTCTTTTACTTTTAATGCTAGGCCTTTTGGATTCAGAGCACCTCCGTTGATTATAACCTTGATCCTCTTGGTTGAGATCACCTCGATGGTCTGCTTGATCCCTTCCCAGGCCGTTTCCTCATAACCCGGATGTTCTCCCTTCTGGTAAGCTTGGGCATTATTGGCCATGTTGACTTCTATATATCGGTAGGTTGAACTATTACTAGATGTCTGTTGGCTTCAGGCAGGACTTCTTACCTGCAAGATAATCGCCCGTGATGAAATCGACATCTCCAAGCGTAGCTTGACGATACATCTCATATGCAGGGTCGCCTGAAGGAGTTAGTCCTAATAACATTTAAGATCCAACTAAAGAATTTGGCATCATACCATGGTATCCAGAGCAGTTGGCGACCTTCACCGGTCGTCTAACGGCTTTAACATTGCTATTTTCTAACGACATACCGAGCTTGAAGAATTGTTCAGACGAGAGATTATATTGAAAGGAATTCTCAAAGAGAACCCTGTTTTATAACAGCCACAAACATCTCATCATGTTGTTCCGCGTTGTGCAATCAACCCCTCAGATGGCCCCGGGAAACGAGGTCCGAGGTAAGGACGAACGACGGCCCGTGTGGATCTCGTTTACGGGTCCTCCTTAAGTGCACAACACAAATTGGCACATTTTCTTTGTTTTTGTTTCTTCAAGCTCTCGCATAACCCTGATGTTTGGGATTATTTCCATGCCCAAGACCATGCTCCTGCTACTTGGTGGAAACACGCCAGGCCGCGGCTCCGGCTCTTTGCTTCACCCGAGGAGATCAATTAAGTTGGTTATACAAGCACCACCACGTAGTGATCGACATCCGTGAGACAACCGGCTATACGGCAACTTGCGCGGCACAGGGGGTGGACATCGTTCCACTCTGCCACTGGCACGGTGGAGTTTAATTGACTCCGTTTCCCGAGTCACGACGACGTTTTGTTGGCCCGCACGTCTCGTTTAAAGTCCACGTTCGCCACGGTGTAACAAGAAGTTCTGGAATATATTGCTTTCTGATTGGGGAATCTTAGCGTGTCTCATTTCGTTGCTCTGACGATGGCCTGCAAAAGACATGAAACCGTGTCTGGGGACGAGGTCTATGGCCCCGGAACTTACATCGACAAAGACGTTCTTCCAGCTCCGGAGGACGCCAGAAGGATTTTTGAAGTGCTGGCATCAAGGACACCAGGCTTCACCAAAGACCATGATTTATGGGATACCGTCAGATTTGAAGGGCGCCCAGATCCCATGGTTCCCGGGCCTATGAAATCCCCTCTCGTATCTGCTGCTCTGCATGCGATGTGCGGCTTGGTCGGAAACGAGTTGCTTGAAATTCGTGATAAGAAGCCAGCAACGCAAAGCCGCGTGACGGTCAACACAGATCACGCTGGGATTTGGCTAGGGTCAACCTTTACCGCATACGTGGAAGGGTCGGATCTTTCCACTCTGCTCCGAAGCCGCTCCCTGTCAAAGATCTTCGTGAGGAATTTCGAACAAGGATTTGGCGTTGGTCCATTGGCCGGACGAGCCACGGCCATTTATCCTACGAAGGATCCCGGGGTCTGGTATCAGCTTCATGGGTCTCTCGATGCAAGCAAGACCCTGAAGTCGATGGCCATTGACATGGATACCCCTTTGCGTTCCTTAGCAGAGGGATACAATTACATTAAGAACCATGTTCAGAAATGGAGCGCAGATGAGTTAGAAATGCACAACGTCAGGCATGGATTGTGCGGGAGTATCTGTTATTCGCCCGAGGGATGGAGAGCGACCGAGATGGGCAAGCGTCTGGCTGCTCATCCCTTGGTCAATTATAAGCTTGAGTCGTATGCTCGTCCAACACCTGCTGTTCCCCCCACTCAAGGTCTTGATCGCCGCCCCTTAGCGGGAGTGAAAGTTGTGGAAATGGTACGCATCATCGCCGGTCCGACCATTGGTGTGACTCTGGCCTCTTTTGGTGCTGATGTGATTCGCGTTAACTGCAGTAGACTGGTGGACTTTAATGTCAGTGAAGCGCTCAAATTCTGCATCCATTTCAAGATACTGATTTAATTGGCAGGTGCTCCAACTGACTCTAAACACGGGGAAACGCACCGTCGACCTGGATATTAGCAAACAGACCGATATGCGGATTCTTCAAGAGCTTCTCAATGATGCAGACGTCTTCATTCAAGGATTCCGCTACGGATCTCTTGAGAGGAAGGGTCTAGGACTTCAAAGCTTACTTGAAATGGCGGGCAAGCGCAACAAGGGTATCATTTATGTAGATGAGAACTGTTATGGAGCTGATGGGCCGTTTGCGGAGAGACCCGGCTGGCAGCAAATCGGAGATGCTGCTTCAGGGGTGTCGTATGTGATGGGAAAATTTTGGGGATACGATGAGGCAACCGGCGTTCTCCCACCTCTCCCAATCTCAGATATGATGACCGGCGTCGTTGGTGCCCTGGCAACGATGCTGGCTATTCGAGACCGAGCGTTGAATGGCGGGTCTTACCATGTTGTCAGCTCACTGGTTGCTGGCGATACGATCTTGCTTGACCCGGAAGTTGGGCTTTACCCAATGAATGTGGCGCAAAGTACCCTTGACAAGTTCAAGTTTGATCGCTCGTCCCCGGATCAGTTTGTCTCCGAGATTTTGCTGCAGATCGTGGATGGCTGGAAACGAGTCTTTCCGGAATACTTAGCCAGGGACTCTCCCTTCATGGTCAGCTTCCCGGATACACCTTGGGGCCACATGGATGTTCTCCAACCCGTTGCACGGTTGGCCGATGAGGAAGCGACCCCCCGATGGAAGACTGGACCGGTTCCTATTTGCCAACACAGCACTATCAGCTGGGCCTGATAAGCGATCGCTCAGCAGCACATCGGGAAATTTTCTTTAAGCTCAGTCTTCGAGGATATCAAATTCATTGTGCGGGGACTAAGATCAGAGATAATCAAGACTCGAGATGATCAAGATTGGAGATGAAGTATATCAAAGCAAAAGTAACGACAGTCAAAAGTTCATACCCGAGTGAGAGAATATTAAAAGATAGTTGCAACCAGCTTAGCCCCAGAAACCTTCCCTTGACGAAGCATATCAAGACCTGTAGCCAGATTCTCTAGACCCCCGTCAATCCTCTTCAACGGAGGCGTCTTCAATTTCGGGGCGACCTCAGGCAAGGAGGCATAGAAACGGCGTAAAGCTTCGTTGTCCGATGGCACTCTTGGAAATTTAGGTCCCAACGGTGGGAGCCACTGGAACTCAGCATTGAAAACAGTATACCCCAGCATGAAGTCGACTGTCACTCCGTCAAGGTCCTTTTTGCCCGTATCCAGCAATGTCACGACCCATCCTCGACTCTTTCGAACGACATCAGCGCAGAACTTCGTCGAAGACCCTTCTGAGAAACAATCCAAGGCCCTGTCAATGTTGGGATAGGCTCGGATAATATCTTCAACGGCTGTTGGCGACCGATAATCAAACACATCGTCCGCGCCATACTGCTTGACAAGGTCGTGGGATTTGGGTGATGCCGTTGTCACGACCTTCAGTCCCGCGAGCTTCGCAAGTTGAATGGAATAAAGTCCAGCAGCTGTCGAGCCCGAGTAGATGAAGATTGGGGTATCTTTCCGCCCTTGACTCTTGCCCGAGTCGAGCCAAGGAACGCCCAGGCGAGCATTCAAGGCCAGCATCGCAGTGACAGCGGATACTCCAAACGTGGCTGCTTCCTCATCGCTGATAGAGGGCGGTACTTTCCAGGCAAGATCCCCAGGAATCTTGAGGTACTCTGCGAAAGAGCCCCGGTCGGGGTATAGTCCACCATGAATGAAACCTGCTACTCTATCTCCAACCTGCCAATGTCCGGGTGCCTTGGCACCTACTCTGGCAACAGTGCCCGAATAATCGCAGCCGATGATAGCTCCTCGGGGAGCGACCACATCAATATGTTTGAAGTCGGTTGGGTTGAGAGCCACGGACCCGACGCGAACGAGGATTTCGTTGTCGTGAATTTCGGGAACGGGAATTGTATGTATCTTGACGCCATCCCCGGATGAATGACCGCAAGAATAATTGAAGAGTCTACTGACAATAGAACGGTCCGCGACGAGGGCCTTCATGTTTTTGGGAATTTGATCAGCCATGATTATTGGCAATCACTTGATCACCACTTGAATGGAGAAGGAACGGAGAATAAGAGGGCGAATTTAGTGCAGGTGCAGAAAGTACAGGATATTCCCTGTCAAAGCTCTACTCTCTGTTGCATGTGAATATTTTCATCGGGTATTTTTTAAATACTTCGGACCTGCACGAAGTCACCCATTACGCCGATAATCGCGTTGATGCCGACCTCGGTAAGTGGAAGACTCGGGATGGGCGTGATCTTTATCTCCCCGTGCCGACGGACTGTCAATTGTCCCGACCGGGGTTGGTAGCCTTAAAGATCTGGCAGCATCAGGGTCAACAGCCCAGTCAATCAGAGAGAACGAAGCCCTGACCAATGAAAGGAGTCGGCCCCACTAACATTCCAGGTTAGCCTCGTGGTGGGTTTCTTGGTATACCGAATGCGAACGGTTCCCAGTAAATAGAGTTTGCCGTTACGTCGTTCAATTCGAACTGCCTGGATCGATGCGGAAATGATGTGGAGTCTAGACCTGAATGACTCCCAAGACGCTGAGTAGTGCCTTGGTTTAACATGACAAGGTGAGAAGGTACTACTGGTTATTAGAGGAATCCCGTGGTTACATCTCCGTTGAACGAGTGGGAGAGGGCAGGAATACAGGCGACAGAGCCCGAGAGCAGATTTGAGACTGGTGCTTGCGCTTTCTTCCATCCTCCTCTCCTTCAAGTGCTATTTACGATGGATGTGAGGACAGAGATCCGCCTCGTCATTCTTCAGCAGGATGAAGCGTACTCTTCTGTCACTTCTCCTCCTGTGGTTATGCGTGCGAACGGCTGTTGCGATTGGGATCGCCAGGGCTTCAGGCTCTGGCAGCTTACCACCGTGTGTTGTGAGTCTCGAGTCTCTCTTCTTACAGGACTGTGATCAAGTACTGACCTCGACGTCTACAGGTGGAATGCACATCACAAAGTCTGTTACTAGGTGATTGCGACGCATCGGATACCGTGTGCCGGTGCACGAACAAGAATCTCAATACCTTAATTTCCCTATGCCTGATGGAAAAATGCTACATCGCAGATAGCATCGGTACAAACCCACGCAACAGATCCTTTCGCATTATACCTGAGGCTAACATCCCCCCAGCGGCAGCGCGATCTTGGGCCCAAGAATGTGACCGACCTCATGACAATCACCACGAATCCTTAAGGGCAGCGATAGTGGCGGGTGGAATTGCTGGTGTTCTAATCGTCATCCTGCGCATATTCTCAAGGAGGTATACCTTGCGCCGATTCTGGTGGGATGATTGGAGTCATATTATTGCGGGGGTATGGTCTAACGCTGCCAGAAAAACTCTCGGGCACGATGCAATTACTCACCTTTTCAATAGGTGCTCATGATACCACTCATTGTTTTCAGTAACCTTTGTGTGTCTATGACTCCTCCAAACTGATTTATTCTGCTAACTTGATGGTTAGGTGTGAATGACGGCATGGGATACCATTTATACGACATCAATTTCTCGTCTGTATCTCAAGCCACTCAACTGTTTATGTGGTGTCAGTATTCCTATCATACCTAAGTCTCTGTCAATCGATGTCTAACTACTTTCTAGATTATCTTTGTCAAATTTTCTGGCTGGTCGTCATTTACTTTATCAAAATGTCGATACTTTTCCTATACCTGCGCATATTCCCCGAGATTCGACTGTTTCGGAATTGTGTGATAGCCACAATGGTGTTCACGACGGTAGCTATCATCATTATCGTCCCGATGGATATATGGCAATGCGTACCAGTCCATGCAATATGGGAGTTGAAACGGGAAGATGCGAGATGCCTCAACATTTCGGGAGTTGCCTATGCGAGCGCAGGGGTGAATATTGCTACGGAAATTGCAGTTCTAATTCTGCCCCTGCCGTTACTCCGAAGACTCCGCACCGGTATAGCGCAAAAGGTTGGGTTATATGCTCTTTTTGGTTGTGGGATTCTGTAAGATTTTAACCAGACTAACGTTGCGAGTATAAGTGACTAATAAACTCTTCAGCGTCATTGGTATTGCATCCGCCCGAGTGTCAACCTTAAGCAACGTCGAGGCCATACATGATCCGACTTATCTGAATGCTGGCGTGTTTTACTGGACCTGTGCAGAAACAGCCGTGGCACATTTATGTGCTGCCGCGCCCGCTATTCGACCGTTATATGTGAAATTGCGCGATATGATTCGACAAAAGAGGAAAAGAACATCCAATTGTTCCGAGTCTGATGTTTTCAGCGGCAACTCTCTTTCGAACGTGCGCAATCGGTCCATATCAAGGTTGAGCAGTCAAAAGTGACAGCCCATATTGCGGGCGGACTTGATGATAAATAGAAACAATGAGAAGGTGAACTTGCATGACAGTTCATTTTTGCTTGCAAAAATCTGATAGCACGCGGGTCGTGCTCACCATTTGACTGTAAATAAGCAGTTCAAATTAGCCAGTGTTGGCAATATATATGTAGGAACCAACACAAGGTGTTCGCTAAAGATTCTAAGTATTCAATCCGTGTGGAGACAACGCTTTTTCTGTCTACCTCCGGGCCTATTGTACCGCGTATGAATTAAAATAACCTGAGCTTCAGTTTCGCATCCGCCAGCGGGAGGTCTGATGGCCAGGTCCGGTAATGCCTCAATGGATATTGGTCAATGTCATGATAAACTATGCACCTCGCAAGATCATCCCGCAAGACGAAGTCAATCACCAGCATCCATCAATTCTCATAGCTTTATTCCGAACTTTGATCCACTTTTGATATTTGACATGGTTGCAGGTCAGAGGAATTGTTGAGGTAGAATTTTCCTTTGCCGAGGTGTTTTGAAGTCGGGCCAACAGTCCCTCCGCACCTTAGTGATGGAAACCTAAATCCAATGCTATCTCATTCAGCAGCACCAAGCACCGCCATTGAAAGATGCACTTTGAGTTAGGCCACAGCAATCTGGGTGTATATTTTATCTCATAAGTCAGAATGTTCTTCATGGAATCTCTACCTCGTCATCGGAGCATTGAATATTATGATGGCCTCCGGCTTGTATCGGGTCTTCTAATCGCAGTAGACTATTTCAAGAAGTTTCTAAACCTTTGCCCCGGCCGCAGGTATTCAAAATAGATAGAATCGGAGAGACTTGTTATCTGTTGCATACATGGCTTCCTAGAATGAACCTAACCTCTGCCAACTTCTGGTACTAAGCCACGTTCCAACCCACGCGAAAGCAGGGATCTGATCAAAAACCAAACATATGGCTCCGGAACTTCTCATGAGAATTTTCTGGTCATTTTTGCTCCTGAGGGGTCGAGGAAAGTTACTGTTCGCAATTGCGAATGTCAGCATTCATGAGGTAAGAGAATCTTCCAGGGCATATCGGATTCGGTACCTTCTAGTTTCAAAGAGGGGGTACAGAATTTAAGCTTTCGCTCTTCCCCGGCTACTAGTCAGTGAACCATACGTAGCGCCGCATCTATAGCATCTTTCATCTTCGCCGACTAGGCTAGGCAACGCCCCATACCATTTCTAGGGGCATTCAGGTTTTCGCTCTGGCATTCTTGTGTGACCCCACATAATGGCCCGATTGTGGGTACGGGCTAGCACGGCGATTGTTGTCACCTCGACTAACCATGACCATAGCTTAAATTCAGGGGTTATACCTGAAATTATCGCGCAGCGAGAACTCAAAGATGCAGTAAGCTCTGCAAGTGTGCATCACCAAAGAATCTGTTTGGCAGATTGTCCTACCAAATATCCGCATCAATCCCAGTGGAACGTAACAGTGTCTTTCATGTAGGTATCACCACCATTATCAACTAATGTAACAGTAGCGGCGGTCAAGTGCACGATCTACCAAAGAGGAATAAGCTGTATTCTTACGCGAGTTCTATAGAACTTTTCATTAGTCCACTGTTCATTTCATCAATTTCAAGATCTGTTTATGTCTTGGCAGGGGCTCTACTCCGGAAGCATAATAGAAAGATAATGTTGCAACGATATCAATAATTAAACATCAATTTATGCAATATGCCATTCAAACAAGTGGCATAGAAAGGTAATTTGTGGGCCCTGCCCTCATTGTCAACGCGGCAAATATGTGTAGAAGATGGTTATACAAGACACCTAAGTTTGTTCTCCAGCAGCCGGATTGTTGCATAAGCTCACCAAGACACTATTTCCTATAGACATAAAACCCATGATATGCTTAGTGAGACTTGATCAACGTCCATTGTTAAAAGCCATTCCAATCACTAAGTTCAATAAAGAGCAATCCAGGTCTTTCGTTTCCGCATCACGCAAATTCTCCAATAGCTATGGCTTCCTTCTGCACTCGAATTCTGCTTTTCACTGTGGGCCTTGCATCTCTGGGGCTCTCTGCTGCCGTCGAGCTTTTGAGCCATGATGTGGTAGAGGAAACGCCTTATTGTATGTGCCTTCCCCAAGTTCACATCCACTATGGATCATTCGGAGCAACTATCGCTTACAGAAACCAGGCAACCTGCATTATACGGTTCAAGTGGGAGATACCTGCTGGGATATCATTTCTCAGTATGGGAGTGTCTTTACGATGAACCAGTTCCTCTGCTGGAATCCAGATATCAACCCTTCTTGTTCGAATCTTATCCCAGGACGCCCCGTCTGTGTTGGCGTGAGATGGCCAGGACCACGATGCTATGACTAAACGCTATTTTGAGTTGTCTGCGATAAAATGACTGGTCGCCATATTTTGAAATTTCGCCGATTCTAGCAGGGACTTTGCGCCACTCTCGATTGAAGTGCAATTTTGGGGGTGAAATCAGTTGGCTCGCTCTTTCCTAGCAGACCGACATGTCTAATTGGTACACGATACTATGGTTGCTTCTCTACCCAACACTTCGCCATGAATTCCTTGAATTTAACAGGTCTTACTTCGGGGAATCGGTCACTCATCCGGTTTTCTTTGGGCAAGTCAAACACTCCAGCCACGGTGAGACGACTGACCAATGCTGTAACTTCCTTCAGTTCCTCCGGTGATCCCATGGTGCTGGGCATGGGTGGGACAGTGACACTGCCCGCATTGATCTGGTCGACACTGTCGTATGATGTGTTGAATTTTTCGCCTAGTTGATAGTCTTTTAGCCAATGCTTCTTGAAACAGTTTGACTCAAGCTTACCCTTGATATCCTCTGCTATGGCCAGAATCTCGTTGTAGGTCACTTGATCACCCACAAATACACTAAATTCTGGCCAGTCCTCGAGTTCAAGCATCCTCACCAAATAGTTCGCCAGGTCGTACGTGTATATCATACAAATAACATCATTGCCATCACCGGGGATAGCGGCTACACCATTGGCGATATCGATGCCGAAGACACATGGCTGAAGATTTGTTTTCGCATGTGGCATGCCCCAATAGTCCATGAAGAAGCCCGGAATGACGCGGGTGTATGTCAGAGAGCTAGATTTCAAACGATCTGCAGCATCAAGCCAATACTGGATGCTTGGATCTATGGGCAACAGCCTTTTTGTGGCGATGAAACTTTTAGCGAGCGCAAGTAATAGAGATAGCAAGCAAACCTACTCGGGTGTCTGAATAAAGGAGAACTCGCTCGGAATGAAACGCTTAGTTGAGCTGGACAGTTCCGCTGCTTCGATTAGGTTTAGCTGGGATTGGCTGGTCTCATCGGAGACAAGGCCGATCGCGGATATGATAGTGTGTACATGGTGGCGTTCCAGCTCCGCGGTCATGGAAGGGATGTCGCTGTAGTCGATCTGAACGTGTTGAATATTTCCTTGCGGACCATGTTCCTTTGATCGGTACGGTAGAGTCAGTACCCTTCCATTAGTTTATTCTCTTATGGAAACTCACACTGCGTGTTAGGACAATGAGTTTCACGTTAGACTCCTGAGACAATCTTTCCACGATTGTCTTCCCCACGCCACCGGTGCCACCAGCGACAGCTATAACGGTCATCGTAGATAATAGAACCCGATGACGAATATTATCTTCTCGATGGCTTGAATTCCGGCAAGATAAACCTACGTTGTATTGCAGAAATGTGGTCAGTGGTAATCAGAGCTCAAATTCGGCTCTCCGTGCTGTGCCCCACTAAACCACACGTTCGCTTGCTTATCGCGATTGAAAGAATGAAGCCACAGATCTTGTTCAACCTATTCACATATACTGAAAAACCACTGAACCCTAGCTTCAATGATAATAGTTGCCCTTCAGTGTATGGTAATGTCCCTAGTCTGATTTGTGACAGACGGAATATGAACGCCGATAGTAGCTCGGGCTTTCGGGCTTCATTAATCGGCGTCTCCAGATCGTCGGCTATGACTAAGGCAAGGACACAAAGTGTATAAAGCCACTTCCCGCGCGCGCCTCCCGCCATCTTGCCATTACCCAACGCAAACGAGCAAGAAAGACTGTCGTTATACATTTTTTCTATCGCATCATTCACAAGAATTTTTCACAAAAAGCCACTATCCCTCAACTCACCCAACATGTGTATGAAGGCTCACTGCTCTACCTGCAGTAAGTTCAACTCGTGCAAAAGGGGTTCAAGGACCAGCAACTAATAGTGTGGCACAGACAAGGTCACCTGGTGGGGGTGCGGAAACCACATTCCCTCTGTGATGGACTCGATCCCCGAGAGCGAGCGCTGCACTTGCACTCCTCAGGTGGAGAGGGAGGGAAAGAAGTATCCTCCTAAGGCTGCCAAGGCCGGTTGACTGCAAGGTTGCGTGATTCTTTAAGTGGGTGTATGGAGTGGTGGTATGCGGCTCATAAGTGGCGCTAGGGGACCAGAAATCAATGGAGTTATTTACCATGAATTGAGACTAGTATTACGAGCGAGCCTTTTTGCCTGATGCCCCTCCCGATTAATGATACCCGAGTCTTTGAAAAAGACATCGATCGGCACATCTGTTGTAGACCCTGTCTCTTGGGGCATCTCATCATTCCTATGGTTTAAAAGCGTGAGTGGCTTGAAGTTCTTCGATAGATGGAGGTCGTTGTTCTTCCTGGTAATGTAGCATATGCAAACCTTGAACTTCCAAGTTGGAAAAAGAATATTACATGGCATTCAACGCTGTTATGAGGATCAATTCGAATTCTTTCGTTGAGAAGCCAAGTCTGCAATCAACAAGTTCCTCAATTCAAAGCCAATCAGAATACAAGCAGCCATTTGAAAACCATGTCTTTCACTCTCCAGATCGGTACCCGCTAAATGCTACCTAAATGCACCATTGTCTCCTGCAGGTATAAAGAATCGAAACACCTGCCGATTGCTGTCTAACCTAAGCTTGCGGCAAAGACTTCTGATTCAATGCCTCAGCTGCCTTTGCTTGACCTCGTGGAGCATTCTCGACGTTCCATAACTTGGGAAGAAGGGCCCGAATGAGGTGCTTCCGTCTATCAGAAGGGGTATCGAGAAGTCTCCGTACTTCTGACTCAAACTGCGCCGTAATCTATAGGTATCCATGTCGTGAGCATGATTTCAACACTTATTTTGTCTTATAAAACTCACTGTGAGACATTGGAGTTCCTCTCGTAGGCATCGGCGGCACGTATCGAGATTTGAGTCTCGAAGACAGGAAACATTTGAACTCACTAGCATGGCCTCAAGACAAGGTAGACAAAGTTCTCCACGAATTGTGCGACATTTGCGTGGAACCTTCGCGATCTGCATCTTGACTATCTGGCCACACATGTCATCGCCTGAATCCGTCTCTTCGGCTTCATACTCTCGAGAGAGTTGAGTCATTGTGATTGCAGGAGCTCGGATAATAGTAGAACTTGTTTTACAAGCGGACGGTCCTTCTTGAAAACTAAGTTTTCAGCCACAGCTAGAATGAGCTTCTTATATAGCCATTTTCCGACTTGTCAATATTCATGCTACAGTTTTGTCTCTTTCCATCTGGTTTCGGAAGTCCTTCCAGAGAGATTCGTTCAAAGTGACCGACATATCCATGGACAGATCTGCTCAAAGAGGAATCAGATAAAGAGATCGTATGGAATGTCTTACCAGTGGCTTTCCATTTGTCTGTGAGCCCTGACTGCCATTCTCGAGTGGCTCGGTTTCAAACGTGGTCTCAGCCAAGAACGTGCCGGTTTGAAACGACCGGCTCTCTAGAGATTTTGGTTTCAGTCAAAGAGATCCAGAGAGAGCCCATTGAAAATTTGAGCTCTGGTAAAATGAAAGGAAAAAGACTCCTGCAGTTGGTATAGGTCTGGATAATTTGTGGGATAATGTAGGGAGGTGCAGAATGTACCAAATAAACGGGCGGTCGTAACTGGGTCTGATGAAGAGCAAAAATCAACCACTCCTGGAAAGTAGTCAGCTGAGTTTTTGAGGAATTTCAATGCCAGAGATCCGATATGTTCCCAAAAAATTTCTATTTTTCGTGCTGTAGTAGAATGATTAGGACTTTTTGATATTTTACAGTAGTTAGTTAGAGCGAGAAGATGCTTACATAATAACTCATCCGCCACCGTGGCTGTAAATGGAGTGTGGCTGCGTGACCTCTTTCCGCAACTCCCTCGTCCTGAAGCATTGCGATAAACGACATTCTTGGCCACGAAGGTTGAATTGCCGGATAATAGATTGCCCTTCATTCAAATTGCACAGTGATAGTGTCTGGCACCTCCAACGCTCTGCGAACCGACACCACACAGAGCCCAGCCGCTTGCCTTGAAAAACGCTCAAAATAGGCACTCAAGAGGCACATTGTTGACCAGGGCGCTCGCTGCCTGATCTGGCTTCTCCCCGCTCTCAAAATTTCGAATTCAGTAGCTTGCTTTTGCCAACCTAGAGGCTTTGAAATAGAGGTGTGACCGTGATCAGTGAGGCCTGTCCGTCGGCAACTTCGCGTCAACACCACCTTCGGCCTCCTTCAATGTCTACCATACCTCCATCTGTTGCACCCGCAGCACCTGTCGCAATGACTGAATCCACGACTATGAAGGTCGAAGACCAAGTTTCCAGCGCCCAGAAGGCGCCTGAAACCGCCAACGGGGATGCTCCACCTGTCAACTGGGAGTCCGAAATCCAGCTTGTATCCTCATTAGCAAAGCTCCAAGAGCTTGAACGGAAAGTGAGTGTTTAGCCACATTATTGCAGACTTTCACATTTCGAAGCCACTGGGCTGCGGTCTTCCTTCATTTGCAGGAGGCCAGCGAGATGAAACATCATACTAACTGAAACCCAGATTCACGAACTGCGCCACGTGGTACCTAGTAGGCTCTTAGAACCACTCGCCACCCTCTCAGATCAAAAGGAGCCATCAGGTGTCACATATGCAAACTCTCCGATGCATTTACGCAATGGACTGGACCAAGCCGCGCGCACTCAGGTCGCCGAAATCGAGAGCTTCAAGTCCACGTGGCAGGGGCCGGAGCTGAAGCCTGTCTGGGCACACGTTGAGTCACGCATCAAGGACTCCAATGGCCAGATCTTGCAACCAACGGGAATGTGGGAAAAAGACTACGACGTTCTCCTTGAGGAACTTCTCCAAGCTGAGAAGAGCAAAGAACAGGAACGTCTACGTGAGGAAGAAGAGGCAGAGAGGACCAAGGCACAGTCCTCAGAGGGTGGATGGCAAGCAATAGTTGAGAGCTTCATCCAACGGGGTGTGCCTGGGGTTCGTGTAATCAAGGGAGAAGGAGCGCCGTCGCTGGCGATCGCGCTTTCAAAAGCTGGAATCATCTTCCATATCGGAGGTCTAAAGGAGAATGATGGTTCAGCGGTGGCTGAGTGGCATGTTTCGAGCAGAGCGGCACCTGGTCGAGTCCCAACGAAGATTGAGAACTCCATCACAGAGTGTCTCAACTCACGGTCACGAAAGTGGGATCTCGCTTTTCTGCTGGTATGTATTGACTACAGAAAAAAAAGGATGACAATAGAGGTTGAAGGAAACAGATGCTGATTTTTTTCTGCTAGGACATGATATCTTCATACGCAGATCTCAAGCAGACTCCATGTGTCAAGTGCCAAAAACTAACCAACAACTCCGCCCAACTACCAACAATTCGCAGAGCCCAGTCCAATCAGCCTTTAGAGCAGGAGCCACAAGTTTTTGCATTCGATGCGTTGCATTCTAGCTGTGCTTGAAAGTTACATTTCTTTTGATCTTGAAGGTCCTTTATCCAACATCCAGTCTTTCCAGTCCAAAGCCTTTATAAAGAATGCAAACAAAACGACAATTTCAGCACACCAATCTCAAGCTCAGAAGCGTCCATCACATTCCACAACCCGGACAAGGGCTCCGAATAGGATACGGAAACCTGTCGACATGCTCAAAGCTCCCCAACGCCGAATCATGCTCATAAAGCTCGTAATGATAATGGCAATGATCATCTCCATCCCGACAACACTCAAAATCCCCAACCTCCTTCTGCTCACAACACTCTCCAGATGTGGAAGACTCCGGATACCAATGCTCTCCCCCATCCTGATCCCAAAACCTAATCGGTGTCGTCTGGATAACCTTCTTCTTCCTCCATTTCCCACACTCCACCTCGCAATCCGCATACTCCACCGCACTCCACGTCTTCTCATCCGGAACCCGGTACTTGCGAGTACTGTAATCATACTTTTCTTGCTTCCCGCGCCATGCCCAGGGGAACGGGGTGTCTTCTTCTTTGGGCTCGCTGTCCCATCTTGCCCAATTGGTGCTTGAGACCGTTCGTCCGGGGGTGGCTTTGTCCTTCCTTGCCGGTGGATGTTTTCCGATAGTTCCCACGTAGATGTCCGGGCCTTTGCCGGTTAGGACGTCTGAGAAACGTTTGAGACGGGACCAACGGGTTGGATTTCCCGGTCGTGGGTCTTTGGGCCAGATCCAGCCTATCTGAGGTTTGGGTTTAGCTGGTTTTGACCCGCCGGTAGATTCCTTTTTATTCTTGGTTTGGGGTTGAGACATAGTCCTTCTGGTTCAATTGAGATGGACTTCTTGGAAGAACAGGCTGATGGATTTTGATATGCTGCTCTGGAATGGACTGGATGGACTGGGCTGCGTAGACGATGGGATCAGGCTTTGGCTTTGGGAGATTAGGACCGAGATAAATGGATTCTTGATCAATGAGACTCTCTGGTTGTTCATTACAGTAGCGTAGCCTGTTTTATTTGTCGGTGGGCATCCCTGCTGCTCCCTTTTGCATTGCAGGTAGTTGATTAATGCTTTCCTCCGTCGAGCCTCATTCTGTGATGCTCTGGCAGGACAGTCTTTAAGACTGTTTGGTTGTGCATGATAACCACATGGAAACCCTCTTCATGGCATAATCTGCATTGAAAAGACTATGGTATATGGCTTGGTCGCGTTAGAGAGACCCATCTTATGCCTGATTACATCTTGGAACTTGTTGTGCAGGAGAAACAATTGTAAACTCGACCACGAGTGTCGATGGCTGTTTCCGGAACGGCCAGGGGGACAGCCTTAGACCAGAGGTAAGGAAATGAGACCAGAGGAGTTAGAGAACCAAACTGTTCCATTCTATCTTTGTCCTGTATGCGTCGTCCTGGCACTACTCCCGTGATAACCACCGGAGACAATCCAACAAAGAAGTCAAAATATGTGCCGACAAATATAATCAATTAAAGCATGTGGGTAGTTCCCAATCCGAAAATACAATGAAAGGCCACGGCACGGCAATCCGCAGACTTGTCTCTTAACCGTATGAGATGCAAGCAGATGGAGAGAGGTGGAAAACAAAGACACAACCCAGATACCCAGAAAGAAGAAACAAAACCCAAAAAAGCGGAACCGTTCTTATGTCCGCAGTATCAACAAACGCCGGTTTTCTTGCTAGTATCGTAATTCCAAATCGCTTTTCAAAACAATGAAACGCCCCGGTGTCAAAATATATCCATGAGAATGTCCGGTGCCACACTCGCTGTCGGTGATGGCGACTCGTCAAGTATAGAGAAGACCTGCCCCACCGACGAACCAGGTGAAGGACAGGATGGTGATGAGGGCCATGCCGACTGCGAATTTGAGGCCCTGGCGTTGGATATCGGAGATGGCACCACTGCAGGTGGCACATTTGAATTCTAAAAGAGCTGTTAGTGATATTGGCTCTGCTCAGCTGTGTGCTGGTAGACTCACCATTCAGAGGAGTGTAGGACTCCCTGCGATACATTCCGAAGCTGTATCCAACCGATCCACTCAGGTAGCCTGCCTCGGCAGTGTCGTCAAGTGACTTGTCCGCATCGTACACAAACAGTGTGTAGGTCGCAGTCAGCAGGGAGATGGTCTGGGAGGCCTGATAATTCTCGGTGTCCCAGATGAAAGTGCCGGTGGGGTCAACACTCATGTTCTGGGTAAGAGTATAGGTCTGGCTGTTCAGGCTGCAAGAAGCGACCACGTCGATGGCGGAAGGGGTGACCGAGAGCGAGGTATAGTTCCACACAAAGGTTGCGTTGTATCCGACCTTGAAGTAGGTGGTAGACGTAGCTGCGGGGGTAATCATCGAGATACCTCCCGCACCAGCGGCAGGGTCAATTGAGATGGAAGAGGTTGTGGTTGTCTTGGTCTTGGTGCTGCTCTTGGTGTTGGTGCCAGTGCTTGTACCCGTTGAAGTATCGGTCCCCGTTGTCGTGGCATCGGTGTTGGTTCCCGTGGAGGTTCCAGTGGAGGTTTCGGAGGCAGAAGAGTCGGAGGTGGAGGCAGCGGTGGTTGCATCTGTGGTACCTGAACCAGTAGTGGCAGCGTTGGTAGTAGTCGAGTCTAATTCAGAAAGTCAGTTTACGCCTTTTGAGGATGGTTCAGTGAGACGTAGTACCTGCTCGCCTATCCAGGGCGTCACCCCGCGCGGCCAACAGCCCATCCCATGGCCAGGCCGAGGTAATCACACCCAGAAACAACACAGCGTAGAGCACGCTCAAGAAGAAAGACCGCATGATGAAGAATCAATCACGTCGATCGTGATGTTGGGGAGGAGCAGGAGTCGATCAAGGACAGCAGGGATGGAGAGAGAGGCCCCCTGGTCGGAGAAAAAAGCCGAATCAACAAACCCCCTTGCCTTAGCCGGGTGGGTGGAGTCACTGGCGGGTGTTGACAGAGGGTGTTTGGCAGTCAAGACAACAAAAGAAGAGGCTCTTATAACTTGGATGAGGCTATTCAGCGAGCGTTGTCCAGAGGAAAGAGGGCGATTGATCTAACGTAGAGAGCCGAGAAAATTTGGCTGGTCTGTTGACCTGTCTTGGACCCTGAGCTTGCAGATCACCGAATATGGGGGTTTTGTGGAGGGGGGCGGGTCCGAAATTCGCAACTTCGATCGTGAACAGTGTGAGCGAGCGATTCTGCCAAACGAGTGACGATAAATGAAGCGAGAGAAGAGGGAGAAGGATTTGGAAATGTGGAGGAGTGGTCGAAGTGGAAAGGATGATCAGAGGCAAAGAGAAGCGCAGGGTGTTTGGGGTGTATTGGGGGGCTAAACCCGAATAGGCAAGGCACGGGTGAGACAAGCCGCTATAAATAGGCGAGATGCTAGTCTTTTCACTTGTCCAGGGTGGCTGAACCGGTGGTGATGTGTAAGATGCCATAGGATCAGAGTCATAGTCCGGCCATGTGGATTGGTTGAGTCTTCGAGCCTGATTCAGATTTATACACCAACTGAGTCCATCGAGAGTGTCAATGTTTACTCGTTCCTCGTTACTCGGGAGATCCTCCCTTGGATGAACGGATGAACCTCCGCACGGGCCAAGTCTTAGGGACCCTGATAGGGTAATCTTTAGAAGATGGAGAGATCAGTAGTTAACTGAATGACATGTGACGATTATAGCTCAGATAACGCCTAGAAATATTCAAAGACTAATTTCTCATCTAAAATGAATACTCTCTTCTTTTGCTGTGAGCAAAGAGTTGCTAAATCGCCAATTCTACCGGAATGCTTGGACGATCGGGAATCCCAACATTTTACCAATAGAAACCATGCTGGGCCGAAGGTTAGTCATACACCTACCATTCACTTTTAATCTACAACATCGGTGCGCAAAGATATTGCCGATGACCAAAACGCCGAATTTAACCTAATTCTCCAAATTCTAGTAAGCGACCACATCATCAACCGAGGTTTGTCTCTGCAGTATCGCTTTGGGGCGTCTGAAAATCTACAAAGGAGACCATCAGATTCCACTCTATCGCCAACTTGAATCTTCTTGATATATCATAGGAGACCATCGTCAATCGCATCGTACAATCATGATGACCACCCTCTCTAATGCGAACTCAACTTCGTGGATTATTTTCAGGTTCGCGGCCAGCAGAAGCGCTCATTGACCGAACGACAATTCTTCCTAACACTCTCAGACACTGTCCTCTACCAAACCAATCAATCCTCACAACTGATGGTGAAACTGCCTCCCCTAAATTCAGTCTTTTCTTGAGATATACTATAACCCGGCTGATCTGCATTCAACTACCTCTCCCGAAGCTTCTAGGAGAATATATCACGGAGGATATCTAATACCGGTCCCTTAGGGAAAAGGCCTTCCTGCCATACTCACACTCAACAGCTTCTCGTTTACATCTCACAATTTGTTGAGCTGCTGGTCTGCGCTTCTCTTACGCTTATCCTCAGTATTCTTCCACGAAACCTACCTCACTACCATTCTCACCTACTCTTTACAACCAGCACAATACTCTTCGAACCCTTGTGAGCTCTGTCTTCTCCCCGGTATTTATTGCTTTTCTTGCCTCTCGATATATATCTTATCTTGTGATCTTGTCCTCTGACGAGCTATAGGATCCAACCTATAAAAAACGGGCATCGCTGAATGATGTCAACTTTCCTCGAAACAAATAAACCAGCACAAGAGCTGACTCTCGAGAAAGCTCTTGGAATTGCAAGCATGGTCGTTGCGCGCTCGACTTCAGACCAAAGGAAGTTCGAGAATAATTCACAATATCCAGCAAAAACAACAGCCATGTCCGGTCAAGATCCCTTCGACAACGAGCTCTTTGTCCCCCTTGGTAGCCCTCTTCCGACAATTGGCGCTCAAGAAACCCAAAAGCCGTCTACGCCGATGGTAGTATCTCTTGATGCTCCAAAGACAATTAAAGTTGTCCCGAAGAGTAAGCGACAAGCGCCGGCGAAAAATCCCAATCTCGAGCCAGTTAAAAAGAAAAAAGCCGTGGTCTTTAAGCGCGGACAAGCTGAATGCAACGGCCTGGAATTTACCGAGACCAAGCCAGATGCAGCCACGATCATGGACTTCCCACTGCCTAAGGTCAACCACGGTGGTATCCGGCCCTCAAGGGTCCCAAGGCACCTGTACTCGACCCCGTCTATCCCGGACTTAGACGATGTCAATGCGGTAGAGAGGGCTTTCCGGGATCTGCTCAGCGTTCGGGAGATGGTTGACTGGGAGAGTCGGTGACTGGGGCGTCGGCTGCGGCTTTTGAAGAGGAAATTATCCTTAGAGGAGCGGAAGGAGGATGCGCAGCGCGCAAAGCTGTGGGAGCAGGAGGACAATGATTTGCTCCAAGATATCAAAAGGCTGGAAGCGGAGAATGTGAAGTTCGAGGACTAGGGGGTATTTCATTGCTGGAGAGATGCGTGTCCAAAAACAAATTCTCTTTAGATGCATTGAAATTTGCGGAAGGTCTCGAGTTGATTTTGATAGCCAGATGGTAGGTGAGTTATAATCAGGTCATTACAATTCACCCACATCATACCTGAGATCGGTGGCCGGATCTAGGCTTCCTTTGTTTGCTTCTTACCTCCATGAATGATTGTTTGAAGGCAACAGAGCCCAAAGTATCGTATAGTCTGACGGATGGTTGTTGCCTTCTTCAAGTTACGCTTCATCTTCGTCCCAAAAAGGAAGTCAATAGGTGAACAATCACATTCTTCCAGCCCTTTACCATCCCAAGACCGCGAATAGCTTCGTAGGCTACCTTCAAACGTGTTTGCCGTTCCTCAGGTATAAATATTGCCTGTATCCACGTTCTTGCTCCCCTTCTTCGTATCTACAACTCTATCCGCTCAACACTCTTGCTTCTACAGTACTGCTACAGTTCTGCTTCGACTGTCCTACTGCTTCTATTTACCCTTACCATCCCGGCCTTGCTACACCCCTCTGGCAATACATCTCTCATCTTCACATACATACTTGTGCCTGGTCTCTCCAGCTCGCTCCCTTTCCATTCTCTTACGTCCAAAATCATCTTTCGCCATGTTTTATCCTGCCAACAACTCCGAAAAGCAAGTCCAACTCATGCTCTGAACTGCAATGGCATCTCACTAATAGTTCTCCCCAGCTTTTTTCCATACGTTTCCTCTCCTCCCTCCGACGTCCCCGTTGGCCCGGTTCTCTACTACGAGAACCCTCTCATCATGCCCGTGCTCGTCAATAACAATGAGTACGAGGGTGAACAGTCAATGCCTCGAGCTCCCTCTACCCAGTCCTACGCACCAGGTTACTTCACCAATCTGCTGAATGAGGGCAATCGGTCTTTCGAGCAGCGATCTCCCATCCCACTCCACTCAACACAACCTCGCCTTCCACAACATCGCCCATCTGAGTATCGCCCCGTCCTCGCCCTGCCTGGACTCGATACTTCATTCACTACACTCCCAGCCCAAAAGCCTATTCCCTTGATTGAGACTGTCCCTGAGAGGACTATGATTCCCCCAATGCCTGTCACAACTACTATGGCTTCCCACTGGTACATGGGTCCTACCACGTCCATGGCCACCATGCCTACTATGGCTCCCATGACTAGCCTACCTCCTCTACGAAGAATGAGACCGCTAAGTCCCATCACCATTGTTGCGCCAATTGCGGCTACCTCCACGAGACCCAACATGAAAGATCGCACAAGAGACCGCACCGGCTTGCCCCCAGCAACCAGTAAGCCAGCCACGGCCAGTGTGGTGGATGGGCATCACCCCAAGCCCGACGGAGCCTACTACCCTCCCACCAAGCGCGTCAAGCGCGAACCCACCGACACGCCCCGCAAGCCATCATGGGCAATTTCCTCCGAATCCGACAACGCCTCCGTCATCTCCCTGCCTCGTCCTCCATTGCAGGAAGAGGTCAACTCTCGACCTCAACCTCCAGCAGAGGAGCGGAAGCAGACCAACTCCTCCGGGGGCCAAAAGTGCACCGACCCCAGTTGCAGCAGTTGCAGCAGTTGCAGCAGTAGCTCGTCTTCTCACAGCACTTTCAGCACCTCTGGTAGCCCCCAGCGGCAGCAGCAGCAGCCTTTCCCCATGCAGGACCCCCCAGCACCCATCATCCCCACCCCGCTAGAGCCCTTCCCTGAAGCGGGAACCCTGATGAACTTCCCGCTTCCACAAATCGACCACCAGGGGCAGCGGCCCGCAGCCGCAGACGGTTACTTCTCCGCTCTCGAGGATGACATCCTGTATCAGACACGGGATCCCTACGAGATTGAGATTGCGTACCGTGATGCGCTGCGGGTCCGCGAGAGGGTGGATTGGGACTGCAGGCGGTTGGGGCTGCGACTGCGGTATCTGCGGCGGTGCCAGGCCAGGTTGGCCGAGCGGAGTCGGCAGGCGAGGGAGTGTGAATGGGAGCGGAGTGACTTTTGTGGACAGACTGGTCGTCGCTGAGTGGACGGGGGAGGTGAGATATGGCATGAGATAAGAGATTTGTGGATGAGAGGCTGTGTTTGTTGATCTTGCGGGTGATGACAAGTGACGAGTGCAGGGATGGCAGTGAAATCTGACTTTTTGCCCCTGGTTACAGTTTTCTTTCTTATTCTTTTTTTTTTCAGAGAAAAGGCGTATTTGGTGGTGCGTAATCTTTGTTTCATGTCCATCATACCTACTGGTTTGCCTGAGGGGATTGAGCTGTTTTCCGGATTTCCCGTTTGTCTTTCTGGAGATGGTATTTTCCTTTTTGGGTATTAGTTTATCTTCTGCAGCGGTAATTTGTTTTTATTCATTGATATGCCCAGTTTATTTCTATGGTGATGGGCTTTCTTTATTCTGAATATACATTTTCATACCATAGAAGAAGCTCATAGCTAGTATGTGCATAACGGCCAACAGTATGTCTAGAGAAAATCCCAGCGTCTTCCGTTCTAGTGAGTATGCATCTAGTCTTAAGGCATACGAGTTAGTACGAATGGTCGTCCAACCAGGCATTACCTCCCAAGGGCACGATATTTGTGGGGAAGCCGAAGCCTCCTCCCCATCGCAGAAAATTGTAAATTTTGGAAAGAAGAGCCCATCATTAAAACTCAAGTCCAAATGGGAGCTCCCTATGCACTCTTGAAAACAGCATTCAACTGAACCTGATCACATCCGTCCGGCACCCCACTTCCCACAGTAGAGTCTTGATAAGATAACTCCAACAGCGACGTACCCTCGCCCGGGCAGACTAAGCAACATCATCAAATTAGCCAAATTGATCATTCAAAGACAGAGCACTGTATGTCATAGAACAAAGAGATCCATCACTTACCCAACCATCCACCCCACCTCTCGCTATCCACCTCCAACCCTCCATCCTCCGCAATACTGAACCCCGTACTAACCGCAACCCCCGCACTGGGGCTTACGCTAACCTCCACGCTTCCCTGTAGAGTATGCCCATTTACTAACGCTAGCTCCCAAGGTGCCTTGTTAGGTGCCTCGTAGTGCACAGTCGTGTTGGAGAGGTCGAAAGTTGCGGCATTTGCGGCGTCGCGGAAGACAGGGTTGCTGTTTAGCGGGCCCGTGGGTTGGGTAGAGAGGTAGAGGTTGTTATGGGCGCTGTTGGTGCTAGATGTCACTAGGTTGAAGGATTTGTTGACCGGAGCGGCGATCGAGAGGGGGAGGGATTGGAGGAGGAGTGGGAGGAGGTGGAGAAGATTCATTGTAGATTGGATGATCGGTAGGAGTGGTTTTTCGTGGAGTGAAGGTGTCTGTGGCGGGCAGTGCAAGGGAGATCAAGGGAAGGTTTGAGCAGAAAGTATAAAGATAAATAATAGAGAAACAATGAAGACCTAAGTAGATGAAGATACCTGCTGAATGACGGGATCGTGACGCTTTTATTTACCCACCAGCCAGCCTTATGGAGTAGTTATACCGGGCTTTCCGTAGCCGACATCCTTATTAGTGTCGTGATTCGGCCCTCGTACAGGTCATTGATCGTCGTTGTGGCACACCAAGTGGCAAATGGGGGTAAATGGCGGCCTCGGGATCCTGCAGATCAGCGGAGTCAGAGTGGAAATTTCCCAACCTCCCCATTATATATGGTGGGTCTACTTAGGCGGCGGTCGGTGATCATTGAAGAGGATGGAGCATGAATTTGAGACATGGTGTTTCGTGTGTTGAGTATCCATGGAATGGATTCAGGTGGGTGAGCCATTTGTCTACCGTATTGAGAGACGGATATGGCGGTGATTCGTTCTTCAAATTGGAGGAGAGTTTGGTTGCTTGGACGATACTCCCCGGCAAAGCTCCGAGCCTCCAGCCAAGTTACATCATGCAGCTCCACGGATAGATCTAATCGTACAGAGCCACTCAGAATTAGCTCGAGTTCATCTCTCCTTGTTCAACACATTGATCGAATAAAGGCAGAGCCGTTGTGGTTCTTTCTGCATATTCTACTAGCTAGTTCAGGACTAAGATACCTTGAGAAATAAGCTTCGGGGGACCTTCGCAATGCCGTCATGACAGCCGCTCACCTTCCGAGCAGCTATCACTATGCCCTCGAAATCATAGTCAATGACAGAGATCTTAACATTGTGGCTCGGAACCTGGTCTTGCTTCTTATTTCACTAGTTATCAAAAATAGTGATGAAGCTGTCGCTTGCATCATTCATCTCTGGTACTCGGCTTTCCTGCGGGAATTCGATATTGAAATTCTGAACAATAAAATCTGGCCTCTCATTCAAGATTTTTTTTAAAAGAGTCAAGCACAACCCTCAAACCTCTTTTAGGAAAGAAATGGATATTTGTGAATGGCCCACTAAGAACCTTTCTGGAACAGGCATCGTGGGATGGCCTTTTACCTTTTTTCAACAAGCCATCTGGCTTTACCAAGAAGGCATCTAGGATCCGAGCAGACAACACCTGGCTCAGTCAATAAGTGACTATCGTGATCGGTATATGTCATACTCTACACTCTCCCAACGGATCTCAATTGATCAGTTCCGCCAGGATGGGCCTTTGCTTCCGTTCGGAATTCTTCGTCATGATTTTAAAGAGCCATACCAGTCCCTCAGGGTTACCCGAGCAAAAATAGGATCTAGAGAAATATCAAAATTATCTAGGAATTTCTTCATAACATTGATATGTGGCCGATTGAGACAAAGCAGATCCTCACCATGAGGGGTCTTTGGAAGAGTATTGATGAAAAGAAAACATATATATGTTGAGAAAGGCTATACAGTTGAAACTTTGACTAGGCCAGCCTGGAGCTCGAGATGAGTTTGACTGAGGCATAAGAGATGGTATTTCGGGGAAGAAGAGTCCATCAGTGTATCTTGTAAAGAGACCAAGCCGTCGTAGTTGTCTTTTCTACTATGTCTTCATTCTTTCGTCACGCAATTACAGCATTCCCCATTATTTGTGTAACCCCTGAATCCGCCATTGACCTACGGCTCGATCATCTCTGTGCCGCCGGTTAGAATCACCATCTAAATTAAATGGATTGGTAAATCTAGAAGCCCTCTGTTGGAATTTTCTATTATCCATGATCTACCTTGATCTACCCCAACATTTTATCAAACACTCCATGTTGTATGTTGTTTATACATCCCTCAACGCCGGTTCCAATGATCATGCTCCTCAATTTCCACCGTAACATCTACCGTCCTCAGCACCGATCCCTTCCCCTGAGCATCCTGTGTCAGATGCCTCGTGCTCTCCGTCCCGTCACTCGAGCTAGACCGCCTAGCAGCATCATCTTTCTGATTTAAATCTCGACCCGATGAAACCTCAGTGATAACCGCGGTCTGACCTCTCCACACATCAAACATGGGCCGCCCACTCATCCTCGATCGCCCACGCGACTGCGACTGCGAGTGCGACTGGCTTGGCCACGAAGAAGACGGATTGATATACCCGCTGGCCTTGGTTCGGGGGAGCTCGAGCCCGATCGCGTCGGGGATTTGGGTTGTGGTTAGGCCGGAGTGTAGGCCGGCGAAGATGTGGTAGAGGGTCGGGACGCAGGCGATTATGACGGTTGTGAGCATCATTCCTTGACCAACTACTTCCCAGTTCACGATATCCCCTATATTGTCAGATTTTTGGCGAGAGTCGGAAAGGGATTGGGGCTGCCACGCACAGGAGACGTCGGTTGAGTGGACGAACGAAGGTAGGAGAGTCAGGTGGGCGATTCCGAGGCCGACGATACTGGGATCAGTGAGTAAGATGTTCAATTTGGTGGAAATTTCTATAGAGTTGGAGCTAACATACCTTAGGCGCGAAGAGAAGGAGCTCAGGATCTTCACCCGCTTAGACAAGACCATCTGGACATTCCGCATCATGAAGAACGGTAAGACCACAAGGATAATCTCTGTGAGGATGTTCAAGACTGCGATTGGGTAGAATATAGCTCCCTTTTTGAGATAAGATGAGCGTTAAGTTCACTGTGATCCCGGCTTCATGGTGTATGTTTACTAACCTGTCCAGCACATCGCTGAGGGGAGTATAGCCACGGGTCGGGCATCTCACACTGGAAAGCTATACCCAACACTGCGAAGATCGCCCACCCGATCCCAATACCAGCAGTGATTATACAGCTGCGACGCAGGATTTTGCTCGGCGTTAACTTCCAGATTAGCAGGAGGGTCGACATTTTCGAGAGCGACAAGACCATGACGTGCAGAATGTGAGCAGTAAAGGCAAACTTGTTCCAGGCCTGAATATCGCCCTTGCTAAGTCGGTCTTCGTGCTTCCCCAGTCCATGGTCAACAGCCTCCTGTAAGACAACGACCTGAACAGTGGAAAGAACCAAAGCGACCCAGATGGGAGTGTTGACCGTTGTCCGTCGCTGCTTGAAATAGAATGCCGAACTCAACTTGGCCAGCACAAAGATGATGGCCACAATCAGAAGAGACACCGAGGTCAAGGTGATGATAGGACCGCGATTATCGCTTGACAGAGCCTCAAAGGCATTCGTTTGGTCGGCCATCGCACCCACGACATCGTCTTCCTAGGTTTGAGAACTTGCCGAGATGGGGTGCCAGCACATAATAAAAGACTGGCTACTCACATCCCTGATACTACCTCTGTCCTCTGCAAATTTTACCATCCTTGTTGTTTTCTTCTAGTCCCGCTCCTGCTCGCTGCAAGTGCAGGGGGGGCACACGAGGTGGCTGCTGGTTTAGCATGACACCTTTGCATTTTGTTTGGCGCTAAAGTACTCAAATTCTGCTAGTACGTTACGCTGTCGGCTAAATTGGACAGTTGAACATAGACACCACTCGGTTGTCCGATAGGCTTCTCCGATAAAAGGATTGTTCAAACATATGATCCTAGCCCCAACCCTAGATCGCGGGGGTGGAGGCGCCGGAGTTCCGTCCGTAAAGATACAAGCGCCGCGTCAACCAGCCCATTAAGAGCATTAGCATCCAACGAGAAGGTGCGGAGTCCGGGCCGTACCATCTCGATTGTGTGGCCCAGTGGCCCCGCTGATCTCTGGAGAGTCCAGATCCAGCACTAGATAGCGCCCGGTCTGTTTACTAGAGCTGCGAACGACAAGGGTTTGCGTCAAAGCGAAAAGCATCGTCTCAACGCGGCGTAAGAACTTGCATCCAAAATGGTCGACGATTCGTTTCGAAATTATTTCGCAATCAAGATCCCTGTCTAGCCCCTGTTTCTGGAAATGAGGAGGCAAAGCTAGTCCCGAAGTACTTCTTGCCGTCCTCGGATCTGTAGACTTTTTTCTCTGCTCCCTTCTCCTTCGACTAGATTCTCCTCATCAGTGTTTCAATATGCAGGAAGGGATTGAAATGAAGAGCGGGAGCGCCGTGATATCAGGGCCGGTGAGAAGTGGGAATGGTGGCTACGAGAGAGTTACAGCGCCCGAGAAACAACAATTGGAGGTAAAACGACAGGCATTCCAATTGACCTTCGCAAAGTCTAATCATTCAAACAGAAATATATCAACTTCTTCTCATCTGTCGCGTTCTCCACTTGTCTGCTTGCCACTTGGGAATCGGCCAGTGGTGGCTTGCAAGCCGGGCTTTACAATGGCGGCCCTGCAGCGATCGTTTATGGGATGCTGATGAGCACCTTGGGCAACCTGGCCATTGCATGCTCTTTAGCTGAGCTTGCCTCTTCGTACGTGTCTAACTGGCTTCGATATGACAATGCTCAGTGCTGACGTCGGGCTTAACAGACACCCGACTGCGGGAGCTCAATATCACTGGAGCTATTTCCTCGCTCCTTGTGGTCGTCGATTCATCAGTTTCTTCCAGGGTGAGCAGGTGCTTTGCAATTTTCCTTCGTTGATAGTCGCATGCTGAAATATATCAGGTTGGGTCACTGTCTTCTCCTGGGCCGCTCTTGTCTGCATTGGCCCATACTTCATCGGAACTCAAATCCAGGGCCTAGTTGTTCTGTCGTTTCCCGAATATGAGCTTGCGAGATGGCGTGGCACGCTGCTCATGTGGGCAGTTGCAATCGTCCCGGTTGTCATCAATGTATTTGCGCGTCGCATTTTGGGAGGCATCGAGGTGGCTGCGGGTATCATGCATGTCGTCTTCCTACCGGTGACCATTGCAGTATTCGTTATCCTCGCCCCTCGAAACTCCAACGCATTTGTCTGGGATACCTTTGTCGGCGGCTTAAGTGGCTGGCAGAATTCTGGCGTCGTATTCTCTATCGGGCTTCTTGGTGTCATTACTCCCCTGGCTGGTACGTTCCCGTCTCTCCAGTATCAAACTATTCTTCCGTCTAATTCATCTACCAACAGGCGTTGACGGCGTAATCCACATGGCTGAAGAAGTCAAAAACGCCAAAGTCGTCATTCCGCGCTCTATGATCTACGGCACCCTGATCAACGGTGTCCTCGCATTCGTCTACCTAATTGCCGTCCTCTACTGCATGGGCGACTACGCCGAAGCCCTCAACAGCGCAACGGGTTACCCCATCATCACGATCGCCTACCAAGCAACCGGATCCAAGGCAGCCACCTGTATCCTCCTGGTAATGGGCATGCTTCCGGGCTGGATCGCTCTCTTCAACAGTCTCGCCTCAGTGACACGTCTCACCTGGGCTTTCGCTCGAGACAAGGGACTCCCCTTCTCCAACTTTTTTGCCCGCGTTGACCCAACCTATAAGATCCCCCTCCGTGCTTTATTGCTAGTTGCAACATGCATCTTCGCACTCTCTTTCATTCAGATCGGATCTACCGCTGCTTTCAACGCCATTCTCTCACTCAGCACCCTCGGTCTATATATTTCCTATCTTATCCCTCTCGTCCTCCTAGTCTTGAAGCGCTTTACTGCACCCCAGGAAATTCCCCGGGGAACCTTTAGTCTGGGCAAACTCGGCCTGCCCACGAATCTTGTTGCCATTCTCTTTGCTACTTATTTCGCTATTTTCCTGCCTTTCCCATCGACATTGCCCGTTACCGCGGAGAATATGAACTACGCCGGACCCGTGCTTGGTGTTGTTATGTTGTTTGCTTGTGTGGATTGGATTGTTCGCGGACGGCATAAGTGGGAAGGCCCAATGTTGAGGACATATGATAGGAATGAATAATTGCCGGAAGATGTTGATACAAGGTGGAACAGGGCTGAATAGTTGCTAATATTGTTCAATGGTAAATTCTGTCTGCTTCAATAGTACCGTCTGATCAGCTAGATAGTTTGGTGATAACGGCTAGCCTAATAGACCCAAAATAGTTGTACGCCAAATTGACATGTACTTATACCACGAGACTGACATTTCAAGAAATTCAAACAGAGCATCAAAATAAGAGATTTTTCATTATGAGTTCAGCTCCCGCCCAACGTCCACGCACCAAAGTCATCTCTGACTCCATGCTAAAGACAGCGGGAATAACAGCCCAAAATGATTCCGAAGACTAGCGAATTCTGCCATTGCCAAAGCAATCTCCTTGCCCTATCCATTTGATATGACGGTCTCTTTGCTTGCCTTTACAATTAGCAAGCTACGGAGCTTGAGAGGCCTCTTTCTCTAGAAGAGGACGATAAAAAGCCCGGGGAGACTGAAATCAAGCCAACTAGTGAAACTGAGAAGCCAGATAATGAACACTGACAGACTCGATTGGAGACCCCGACATGACTCGATTCAAGCTGAACCCATCCATAAGTAATTGACTGCGCCGCGCCACAGATCCAGGGGCAAGATGGAGAGATCAGCGTCCGTACATCCCGGTATCTCCCCGTCGTTCAAATATTTCAGGTACGGAAACGAGGATTACAAGATACATCCCCCCTTGAAACGGCCCGGGATGTCCAGAATGCAGATATCGAGCTATCGCTTGGATGTCTAATACTGTACTCAGTACGAGTCACGGATTAGTATCAAGTGTTTTTCAGGGTGCAACGGCGGATCGCTGGGGTAGAGTACACCGCGATCTAAATTTAGGTCTATGCAGACCAAGATAGGCTTATAAAGATGACAATAAACATTCAGATTATAGGATGAGTGAATTTTCTGTCATAAGGTCATGTTCTCGTTTCGTCATAACCTCCGCTCTATCGTACACGGCACCATCGTCACCACTGCTACCACACCACCGTAGCCAAGTTCGGTCTTCTCTAGAGGATCATCTAAGAATGATGTTTTTCAACTCTAACTAGCACACTCTTCCTCACGTCTGCTCCCCCGGTTTCTTCGCAAACTCCGGCTTCAACGTCCATCGACCTCGTCCTCCACGATCCCGATCCAGACGAGCCACCGTCTTGAGCATCTCCTGGAACTCGGCCACGCGTTGCGGGTTGGTGCAGTAGTGACTGAACTGATCGACAATCACTTGCGTGAACACTGGCCCGCGGCGAGAAAGTAAAAAGTCCCGAATCAGCGGCAAAAAGTCCTTACCACGAGGCATCCGGTTCGGACCTCCCGAGGCCTGCGGAGTTGGGGTACGAGAGCTCGCTGCAGATGCACCGGGGTTAAGGTTGGAGAGCAGAGTTGAAGATGAAGGGCCGCGAGCAGCAGGCCGTGCTGATGAGCTAGCGCCACCGAGGTCGGTGCGGCCGGCGACACCGAATGAACCGGTCCAGGTAGGCAGGCCTATGGGCGTGCTACGGGCGACTTCTTCAGCGCGGCGTAGCTCGCGGGCAGCTTCGGCGGCCACGCGGCGTGCTTCTTCTTCAATCAATTTCGGGTCGGCGCGAACGGTGCGCTTACCATTGACGATATGGTCATGCTCGAGGGCAGCATGTACGCCGGAGCGGGCAAAGATGCCGTGCATGATGCGGTCCTCGGCAGTTTTGGGGTTGTTCTTCTGCGCGTCTTCATCGCCGTTGGTAAATTCTTCAACATTGGCAACACCCTGAACCGTGCTGATATCTTCACCGTCGGGGTTCGGTGTCTGCGACTGGGATTTGACTCCCTGGCCACGTTTCTTGAAGGGCGGAGAGGTGGTGTCTTCCTCCTGGTAGGTGACGTCTGCATTTTTGAACAGCTTCGTAGTCTCCAGCTCCTTGTCGTTCTCTTCTGTCAGGGAGAAAAGATCATATAGATCGCTCGCCTGGAATCCCTCGCGCTGTTGCGGGTCACGGGTGATCTTGTTGGTCAAGAACTGTTTGAAGATCTGGCGGTGATAGATCTTTTCTTCGATGGTACCCTTCATCATGAGCCGGAAGATCGTAACGTCACGCTTCTGGCCCAGCCGCCATGCTCGCTCGCGAGCTTGCATATCAGTCGAGGGATTCCAGTCGGGATCGTAAATAATGACTCGATCCGCGCCGGTCAAGTTCACTCCGATACCACCCACGCGAGTGGTCAGCAGAAAGACATGGAGGTCCGGAGTCTTGTTGAACTCGTCGACCATGGTTTGACGGTCCTTGATCGGAGTATTACCATCCATGCGACGAAAGTTGAATCCGCCCAATGACCTGATAAATTTCTGAATGATGTCCAGCATCTGTCGAGTCTGGGCAAACAACAGGGTCTTGTGTCCGGTGTCTTTCCACACCTCCAACAGTCCCTTCAGTACCTGCATCTTGCCCGAACGGGAACTGTTGCCGTAGTCGGCTTCATGAGTGCGCAATTTACGGTCCACCAAGTCTGGATGGTTGCAGATCTTTCGAAGAACATCAATACCGAAGAGAGAATTTCTTCGTCCCCTGATGATTGAAGCCATGTCTTCGGAGCCAAGGAACCGCTTGTAAACATTTCGCTGCTCCCTAGTGAGCTTGCAGAAGATGACTTGTTCGGTCTTCTGGGGGAGGTCGGATGTGACATCAGCTTTGTACCGTTGAAGAAGGTATGGACTAATGGCATCCTTTAAGGTCGCTGCACACTTTGCAGCAGTTTGGACCTGCAGATTGGTGGCCGACGCGTATCCACCTTGGCGGATGGGGATTTCGAATTGACTTTTGAAGGTGACGAGAGTGCCAAGGCGCATGGGAAACACAAAGTCGAAGAGCGACCACAGGTCTGTCAGGCTGTTCTGCATGGGAGTTCCCGACAAGATGATGCGGTGAGGCGTTCGAAGCTCCTTGCAACTGAAGGTGATGCCAGCATCCGGGTTGCGGATTTTGTGGCCCTCATCGAGGATGGCACACCCCCACTCGACATCGACGAGAGCATCCGCGTAGGACTGCAGACCGGAGTAAGTGGTCACTAGAACGTGTCCTTCCTCTACGACGCGCTCGATGATCTTTTTTGCGGCTTTTTGCCCGGCAGACAGGTGTCGAGAGTGGGAGCTACCCATCAACTCGGACGTGAGGGCCATCTCACGACTGCTCTCTTTCCCCAGATTCATCATGCCACTGCCGGAAGAGTGCAGAATGGAGACTCGGAAGGGAGGCCACCAGCGGTGAAACTCGTTGACCCACTGCTTCATAAGAGTTGCAGGGCATACAACGATCGCCGGCTTGGTGAACATATTGCTGTGGTGCAACGATGCAAGGTAAGCGATGGCCTGAATCGTCTTGCCGAGACCCATCTCATCGCCAATGATGCCCCCAACAGATTGCTGATGCAGCTCCCAGAGCCACTGAACGCCGGTTCGCTGGTAGGAAAAGAGGTATTTGCCGATGTCACCCGGCACACGAAGGCCATTCTGGAGATCCAGGTCTGGCTCTGTGGGATGCGGCTTCAGCCACTCATCCTCGATCTGGTCTTCTTCTTCCTTGATGGGAGTCTCCTGGGCACGCTTACGAGCGGCACTGCGTCGACTGATCCACTTCTGAAGACGAGTCTGGTAGATCTTCTCGTTGCCGTCGTCCACACCGCTGAGGTCCTCGAGTTCGGACTCCGCCTTCCCCTGCTTGCGCTTTCGCGACGTTGGCTCGGGTACAGTGTCTGGCATGAACTCTTCATCCTCGGACGACACACTGCCCTCCGAGGCGACATAGCTCGCCTCGGAGTCGACCTCGGGCGAGGTGGGTGAGCGGGTCCGTGGAGTCTTAGGGCTCCTCTTCGTCGTAGGAGGGGTTTCCAGCTTCCTCCGCTTGCTGTCGCGGCTCCCTGCACTTTCACTGGCATCGTCGAAGTCGAGTTCGGGACGGAGGAGGTTTCGGTGAGAGGCGGTCGGGTCGTGGTGAGCCCTCTTGCGCTCTTCCTCCTCTTGTTGCTGATCTTCAGCGTCAACGAGGGCATCCTGCAGAGTTGAGAGTGAACCATCTGGGCCAGCCTGGCTCATGAGCTCGAACGGTGTGATCTTTCCGGTCCGCAGGAGGTAATCGCGCCGAGACTCGTTCGGCAGCCGGCCGGGTCCATGACTGCCCTCCGCATTCACCTGGGCCTCGCGCCGATCATCGATTCGTTTCTGAATGTCCTTGATGTCGGTGACTAGTCCCGAGCGGCGGGCCTCGAGGTTTCGGAGTTCGTTCTCGACCCGGTGGCGACTGACGGCTCCGACGTGCTTGGCCAGGCGGTCTTTGGCCTGGAGAATCTGCCGATCGACCTTGCTGAGATGAAAATCAGCGCGCTTGCTCTCATATGAAGCAGCAAACAGAGAAGGTGAAAGCTTACCTGTTGTCGTTCAGCGCCTTCTCAAGTCTCTTCGTATCATTTTCCTCGGCTTTTTCAGCGAGGAACTTGTCGGCCTACCCGAGCGTTAGTCACGTTGAGACTGATGATAACTTGGAAGCCGATGTCAACGTACCTGACGAGTGATGTCTCGTTCAAGGTCGTCCTGGTTGCGCACGTCTGCATTTAGCTCCTGCAGACGGCTTGCCTCCGCGGCAGCGTCGGCCGAATTGGGCGAAGCCATTTTGCGAGTCGGAGGTCTTGCGGGAAAGGGGGGAAAGAGAGTGGATGAGGTCAGTTCAATAAAGAGCGACAAGATCAGGAATCAAGTCGGGGTCAAGGCAAACATGGTGAGTACCTCGAGCGTGAGGCAGCTCGTGTGGCGACGATCGCAGTCCTGGATAAACCCGTTATCGCGATGAGGCAACCACCGGCAATTTGGCTGACCGCCTGCAGCAGTAACATCGGACTTTGCTGAGATACACTCTAAACCTCGGTTCGAATCCGAGAACTGGCATCTTCTAATATTTTTTTCGTTTGTTGATTACTTGACTAATAGAACATAGTTATTGTAGTTAACTTAGTTAACT